TTTCATTTTTATTTATTATTATATTTAAACATATCCATTGAGCAGCGACAGAAATTAACCTCAACAATTCGAAAAGCTAAATACTGAAATATTTATTAGAATAATTATTCATTACTAATAATCAATGATTTGCGCTTTTTGTACGGCTGACGGCTTAAGTTCCTCTCGGAAAATAAGTTGGTACCATCTAACTGCGAACTCTAGCACCAAATCAAATACGCTTCTGAAGCTTCCTGTAACACACTTGCAGAAAAGTGAGAGCAAAGTCGTTACACATCAATAAACTTGTGCACCATGCGGTATAAATGAAGTTGGCCCTACCACATTGAAAGACAGCACCATAGAAGTACAGTAGCCATCTTAAAAGCCAACTCTTTAGGCACAACATTAGGGCTAGCACGTACTGTGTACGTACCCACTACGTATTAGCACATAGACATAGACATAGACATAGACATAAACTTTATTTTGACAACCAACAAACAGCACAAAAAATTCAAAAAATAAATGACATGAACATAACATATTGATAAATAAAAACATAACATCGTTTCAACAAAAAAGCAAGTTAAAAAAAGGAAAACAAAATAAGTACACAAAGTTATAAATATAAAAATTATTAATAAAGAAACAAAAAGACATATAGAAACCTTTGAAGGAAAAAAAATGCATAGTGTATATGTAATAAGGAATGAATTGTGCTGTGAGTTTATGTCAAAAATGGTCTCCACTCAGCAAAAAATACGGAGAGTTCCGCAATGCTGGTATTCTGTGGTACACATTGCTTTAGTACGCTGTATGCACGTGCATTGGGAACCCTAAAACTACGCCGAACAACGCATCGTTGTATACTCGAAAGCTCAAGCTCGAAGGGGACGAATGAAGCTACGCAAATACGTCTGCATCGTAGCAAATGCAAATCGTTAGCAGCTTAGCCGCTAAGCCCTGGGCGAGGTGGAGTTTGTACCTATATTATATGTATATGCTACGAAACATCAGAACGCACTCAGGAAAAGAAAAGCCCTGTTGCGACCAATTAAGCGAGTTTGTTCCAGCATCCACTTACTATGTGCTGGCCCCACGATATGGTTTTTTTATTCTGTTTAGGTTTATTCACTAGATACATTCCTAAATTCTACTCATTCATTTCATCACTATTTGTAGTCATCCAACATGTCTGGTGTTGTAAATCTTCCATGGCGGCGCGCGGTTCGCGCATATGTACTACTAGTTACTGCCCGCGACTACGTCTGCGTAGAATAGGCTGAAGGCGTAACATTCAGACAGAAAGATAGATATACATAAAATATGTATATAAGTTATAGCCTACGTCTTATTCTAATCTATATTATTGTAGTTTCATTAAAATCCATGCAGTAGTATTTGCGTGAAAGAATAACAAACATCCATCCATACATACAAACTTTCGCGTTTATAATATTAAGTAAGGATTCAATGAACTGCTCTTTCAGATTCTATAAATTAAAAGTTTAATAGAAAAACTAGGCGAGATGTAATATAACATGTCACTTTATGGATTAAAACATAATATACAGAGTGTCGTTACCGTCGCGACAATAAATGAACACACGTCTAACGCTACTTGCCAATAATCAAACAAAAATATTAACTTTAAAAAAAATCCATAATTAATATGCTTTGTGACCTTTACAAATGAACTTTACATTAAAAGTTTTATACGTAAGGGTGTTCTAAAATTCTTTGTTTTGGAAAATTTAATAACTCTGTAAATATTTATTTATTTATTTAAACTTTTAAACATTTAAAATTAGTATTGTGTATAGGCGGACTTAATGCCTAAGGCATTCTCTACCAGTCAACCTATGGGCGACGCAGAGACAAAAGAGGCAGGTGTAAAAAGTTTCAAACCAAATTTAAATTTAAAACAAAAGTTATATATATATATATATATTCTTATATACATAAATTTAAGACATATACATGAAAATATATAAAGTATATAAACATATTAAACCCAATATAACAAAAATATATTACATTATTTAAGCATACAAAATAGAATACATATACTATAATGTTCACAAATACTTAATAAATATACATAAATAAATAATATACGATATCAATAACTACTGATTATTTCATTCTGCCAACTTACTTAGATATAGTTTTTTTATCTTATTCTTAAAAGCAATACGTTCAGTGGTCTTTCTGATGTCATACGGAAGGTCATTCCAAAGGAGAATGGATTGAACGGGAAAAGAAGAGTACATAAAACTAGAGTTGTAGGAGGGACATTGAAGCAAGAGATTATTAGAGGAGCGAAGGGTTCTGTCATGATTGGAATAAAGATATTGGATAAAGGGAATCAAATAGGAAGGGGGATTGGGAGAGGTTAATATGGAATAAAGTGTAGTGAGCATGCGCAAACAACGGCGTTGACGAATGGGAAGCCAATTAAGTTGAGACCGAAAAGCAGACACATGGTCATACTTACGAAGGTTAAAAAACAAATCGAATGCAGTTATTGAGAAGACGGTCATATTTGTTGAGTAGATCTGCATTCAGATCAGAATAGCATACATCACCATAATCGATCAAGGGAAGAATTAAGGACTGCACAAGTAAAACTTTAGTTCTGGACGGAAGAAATTTGCGTAGGCGGTAGAGACTTCGCAAAATACCGGTTACTTTTCGACTGACATGATTCGCTTGAGCATGCCAGCTTATAATATTGATGTTTAAAGAATGTAAATCTTTAATAAAATTTTAAAAATTTATCCTCTTTATGTGTATTTATTGTCGCGATGGTAAAGACACGCTGTATAAAGCACTCCTTTTACGCGATGTAGGCAGAGTTTTGATATTTCCACTTCACGCTCCTTGTCATTAACATCGATTCAGAGGTACAGGAACGCTGGTTGCGGGCACTTTTTAAACCAATCTGTTAATTGTCTTTCGTTCTTAACGCAATAATTGTATTGCGTTAAGAACGAAAGACTTTACCCAAGGGATTGTAAAGGCTCGTGTCTGTGTTCAGAAGAGGAATGATAGTTTTTTTGTGGCTATGAAGTAAATGAAGTGAGTCTTCACATGAAATTATTTCGAAAGGCTGATGATTGGATTTTAAACATTTAGTTTCGGTGTAGCATTTGGAGTGAACGAGAAATCGGTTTTCGAGGTGGGTCCACAGTGAATAACTATAGAAGAAACTTACTTTGAAGAAAATAACATCGTAACTAAGACACTTTCCTTACCTAAAAAGCCAGTTAGTTCTACTATTAGTAGTTACTATTGATGTCTCCTATGCAAGCGACTACAAATTTGTACAAACAAAGAGGTCATTGTAACGCCTTAAATGGAATATAATCAGATACAGTGTTAAATAAAGTCTTACCTAGACCATAGAGTCTAGCAGTCTCAATACTTTAGCAACATTCAGTAGGTACCTAGTTAGTTATTGCATGCGGTACAATATAGAGCACACGAGACTTAGACAATGGGAGCAGTCTCACATAGTTTCAGCTACAAACCCCGGAGCTATTAATTAAAATGGAGATAGTTCTTCTACTGTTTAGTAAGATATAAATATCTTTAAGTATAATGAGCATTTTAATATTCTTTTGGAAACGAATACCTTTGCAGCAACTTTTATGAATGTTCTTATTCATCGTGACTTTCGAGCTTCTATCAAATTCCTCGTTAATGGTCCATAATAATACCTTTTCATTTTTGTGAATATATTAGGCGTGCACGTCATGCGTGCAGAAGATACGTACGGAGAAATTACAGAGTTACTTTAAATCATGGCTATTATGCATCAATCAAGGAATAGCATTTATAAAAAAATACTATTTTTATAAATGTATCATTCGCCAACAAAGGGCCCTTATAAAAGAACGTAAACGTTCAATCGTAACTTTAAAATTAAATCCGCTTCAATAGGTTAAACGCACATACTTATTTTTGTTACATATAATATGTAAGTATTCAAATTATTGTCTCCAGTCGTAACTTGTGGATTGTGGAGTTATATTCAAAGTTAAACCTATTTCTTTATAAATTTATATAAGTGAGATAAAACTTAAAGAAAATCCGCGCGCCTACAAACGGCCGGCTGCCACTCCTTGTTCGAGTTGAGACGGTCGGAAATATGGCGGCGTCGCGAGTTGTACTAACGCACACATAGATTGTTTGGGTGCGATCGATATTATGCAGCGGCGACGGACGTAGACGGCGGCACATTATGAATGCATATTAACGCGAGCCTGTTCGCCTCCGAAGCCTCGTTTCTTCGACACAATAATGGAGGATGATATTACAAATTACTGATTTATATCCTCCCTCTGTTAAGTTTGTTTCTGTTTTCGGAACTGATATGTATAAGAATACTGCCTTTATATTCATCATATTGTGTTCAGATGGACAATTGTCAATTACTAGTGGTGGCCCATTGGTCGAAATTCGACCATCTTTAAACGAACAATTCTTGTATACATAATAATAATAATAATATCCGGCTCCAGCAATTTTCATGAAATTCAGTATGTGCGTAGATTCGGGGGCGAGAAATCGATCTAGCTAGGTTTCATTTTTAGAAATGTCCTTTCACGATCACGTTCACTGTATCACTATGTAGCCGTTTCGAGATATATATATATCTTTAGTCGGTTATATAAACTGACCTGATCCTCAGTGCTTAGATAGCGTGCTGTGTTATGGATTCGAACACATAAACTAGGTAAAGATCGGCAAATAGTTTTTCCGAGTCTGGGGGTACTCAGTGCCCGAGGCTTTTGTTTGATTCATGTACTATTCCCCACTATGGAAGTCATTTTAGAAATGGAAATAGACATAAAATAAATGGAAAGTTGGTGATCTTTAATAATTACATCAACGATGTGTTATATTAATTTTGGTTAACGTAATATTAAACAATTAATAATAGTCTCCGTCAGGATCAACAGACACTTCCAACAGATCTTATTTCATCTCAAGAGCGCGCCCAATTTTCTTACCTTCATTTCTGGCGAGAGCTTCGTGTTTAAAGAGAATTCGGTCTTCAACAAGTGACCAATTTCAGTGGCAGTGTAGTCTTCGCCATAGTCCGCATAAGTCAAACGGCGATCCAAATCGGCCAGCAACGCCTCATGCTTGTCTGTTGTGAAAATAATGTAATTAAGATGTAAACGTTAACGCTTTTAAGTTATATCTATAACTTATTTTAATGTTTCAATCAGAGTCAAATCTTTAAGGCGGTTGTCATTGGTGAATCAGAATAAATAAGTTGGATTTGGTCGATGTGGAAAGCTTAAATATAAATTTTTCATTTTTCAGAAAACCGTTAGAAATTATTTCATCTAACAATCGGGTCCAGGGTAAATAAGGAAGCGAATGTGGCGCGTTTATTACTGGAAATTAAACCACGTAATCTGAAATTTAATAAATATTAATTTTTATGATGTTTAATAACAAGTTGCCTGTTTAATTTGACTGGATACGTACATACCTAGTAAAATATTTGTTTAAAATCCGAAACATGGGTGCTAAACTAAGTGGCTTAATTCAAACCCTATTTAATTGAAAAATAAATCAATAGTCCATTGTGATTCAAATAACTTTTGATGTGATATGAGATTCATAAATAAAATAATTTTATTAATCACTGGTCTAATGCCCGGTTACTATATTCAACGAATGGCCGTAAGTTACAAAGCTTCGTAACTTTCATAACGACGTGTACATTAATGGAACGCTAATAAGTCACTTTTTTATGTGAAAAGTTGCCAAGCGAGCAGGTAGTACACCTGATGTTAAGTGAATACCACCGCCCATGGACATCTGCTACACCCAAGGGTTAGCAGATGCGTTGACAACCTTTTGAAAATTGGGCTCCGGCTACCTCAGTCACGAGACGAAACGCGAAAGTATTATATTTCCACTTTACGCCAGTCTTCTGTGAGGTCGTGGTACTTACTCGGACGAGCCTGCCCATTCGTGCAACAACCGAGGCTTCTGCGTGGCCCTACCACCGTTAAAACTAACTTTCCGTAGGTAATGCAACGACTCGTAAGGAAAAAGCATCGTTTTGTTTATGAACCGGGCGTACACGCTTTTTATCTACAAGTCGTTATGAAAGTTACAAAGCTATGTAACTAACGGCTGTTCGTTGAATATAGGAACTGGGCATAAGGCATTTTCTGTCGACTTTTCCACTATCGCTTTAGCGAGCAAATTATCGCTATAGCGCTGCTTGCTGAATGATATCTCATCAACAACCCTGTCTTTAAACAGGGAGGCTTTTCTAAGTGTATCCATTTTTTTAATTTAAATTCTAGGCATAAATAATGTTAAATAAAAATGATAAGTATTTTAAATCACTCGTAAGTAATTAATTACATTCATTTGAACTTATCTCAAAAAGTACGTGATTTATACGCAACTCATTTATTTTACGCGCGATCATTCATAACTACACGCACACAAGTTTCTTTGTGTGCGTAAACAGTAAAATTTAGTTATTTATGAATGACTACTGCGTTGTCAGTTCTGTTTTTTAGGGAATAGAATGGTAATTTTTTTGAAAAAAAAAATTGTTTTTATTTCAATAAACGATTATACTACCGAATCTTAACGTCCTGTGTAAATTCGGGCACCTTTAAAAAAGCCTCCCTGTATGCTCTGCCATCATCATCATCATCATCATCATCAGCCGCAAGACGTCCACTGTTGAAAATAGGCCACCCTAGAAAATCTCCCTTGGAACGCCATAACGAAAGATACTTCGCTATTTGCATCCACCCGTTGCCCGCGACTCTTACCATGTCGTCGGTCCACCTAGAGAGAGGTCTTACAACGCTACGTCTTTCGGTTCGTGGTCCCCACTCTTCTCGACCTTTACTCTCCATCGGTCATCAGTTCTTCAAGCGATGTAGAATATACGCTCTGCCATACCGAAGAACTTAATTTCGAAGCGTTAGAGCCTCGGGGATTTGCACATTTGCCATTAGACATGGCCTCAGGAAGACTGGCGTGCAGTAAAACAGTATTTATACTATTTGTATTATTATAAAATTTATTTTATTATTATATACTTCTGAATTTCTTCTGGCTAATCAGATATTCTCAGGCCGACACTTTCAGTGATTAACAACAGGTCTGCAACACTTCTGGTGTTGCAGACCTGTTGTTAATTCCTGATCTGATTATCCATAGCACCATAGTTTGGTCTCCACTTAATTGATTGAAATTTGCGCTTTCAATCCGTAGAGTAGATAAAGCTTTGTCAGGCACAGGGATTGTGAAAAGGCTAAGTTTTCATGGGCTTAATGGATGCAGTCTTGCATGTAAAGAGGAGTGCATTAACAAAAATAAGGAGCGGATTGTTGGCTAGGGGCCAAAGAGGGCAAGTACGCCGACTAGACATCCGCGGTCATGGATTAAGTTATTTGAAGGTTAACCACTTCCTAAACTCTTAATCATGTTTCAATATCCTTGTTAGGATTCTTATTACTCTATTCTCTCTTTATTCTTATTCTATCTAAGACTATACTGTCTGTCTCCCGTCACCAGGCTATATATCATGAACCATGATAGTTAGACAGTTGATATTTTACTGATGATGTATTTCTGTTGCCGCTAAAACAAAAATACTAAAAAACAGAATAAAAAAATATTTAAGTTGGGCGCCCATACTAAAGATATGATTTTTTTGCCGTTTTTATAGTGTTACGAAACCCTTCGTACGCGAGTTCAATGCTTACTTACTTTCGATACTCGTACTTGGCCGGTTTTAGTATGTTCTTTCTCTGATGAATGCACAGCCCACGTCATATATGAAACTCAACCTACACATAACCAAATCATTTCATCCAGTTTCATAACTTGTTCATTGTGTTTCATTATTTTCTATTTCAAAATTTTTAACAGATTTCCCAGAAACCCAGCTTCTTCTTTTTCTCCTGCCCTTATCCCACACTAGGTGGGGTCAGCACGACATGTACTTTCCCTCCACTTTCCTCTATTAGCCATCTTCTCAAGACTAACCCCTTACACAGATATATCATTCTTCACACAGTCCATGCAAATCTTTCTCCATCTTCCTCTAGCACTATGCACCCTCTAATCACATTCATATTTATTACTCTTCTAGTCACATGACTTTCATCCCTTCTCATAATGTGCCCATACCATGTAAACCTACCACTCCTTATTTTCTGTGACTGGTGCACCTTTAAAGCTTTCCCCTATATATTTATTTTTATCCATCATTTATAGTCACACCATGCATTGGGAAAGCATTATAATGGAACCCACATGCTGTTTTGTGTGTTTATGTACCCTAATGATGGTCACAATTCAGATTTTGTGTATAGTAACAGATTAAGAATTAAGGTAACGTACGAAGTAAGGATTCAATTTTTAGAATAAATAAACTAAAAACACAAACAAACAATTTACCTTTGACAAAAACAATATAAGGGATTTCTCCCATAACTCGGAGGGTTGATAGTTCATGGCGCAATGCTCCAGCAACACTATTAAGCAAACTTTCTGTCTCTTCATCTGTAGAGTTACCCTTACACACCCAGAACACATTCACTGTATGGAAATCTGGGGTCACTCTGACCTATATAAAATAAGAAATAAGATATAATAATCCTCAAAACATGGTAAGCTTTTAGCACTATTCTAAACTTTTTACTAAAATACAACCTATGATAGTCACAAAAATATTAAGTATTAAATGACTCCATATTACACCACTAAAGCCAACAATTTTATATGTTGTCCACATTGCAATGAGACTGTATTACAAATTGTTTGACCCAAAATTGACCAATTCTAAGATATAACTATCATTTCCTTGCTATGTTCTAATTAACATTATTGTATTAAGCGTACAAATTAAATGTGTAGTAAAAAACCTAATAAATTACCTTAGAAATGTCAATGCCCTTTCCCGCAATATCCATAGCAACAGTACCAGTAGACATTATGTCTGTTATATATTTCATAAAAATTTTATTTAAAACCGCTACTCTACGCATCCCTCGATTACCCGGCTCGTATTTCGTTTTTGTTAAGCTTTTTATACTTGGCAACGGATTTGTTTCGGATGGGTACCATCGTCTAAAACAATAACATAAATGAAACAGTTATAACGAACTCGGAAATACTAAAGCTTGGTGATATTTAGTTACTTTTTATTGTAGGGACTAATTAACTTAGTAAGCTTAATCCCTTGCTTTTTAATATTACTCAAAACTATTGAAACGTGATAAAAACGACGAAACATTGTAATATTTTATACTTTTGGATGCTCGGTCAATTCAACATTATGTAACATCAACTCATTAACATTAAACAAACTAGTATAGTATATTATTCTGTGTTAGAAATAATTTTGGCATCATAACCTACAATTATAGACAAGTAGTAAACAATGGGTATAATAATGTAAGTTATAGGTAAACAAAGTGTCATCTGCCACTGTCAAGTGACAACTTTCATTACTATCAACTAATGTTCGGAAGTCAAAGCTTTTGCTGAACATTACCATTAATATCATACATTCATTATGAATTATAGTACAAACAAATTAGATTTATTTTATATTAAACACACTTTACTATACTAAGCATTATAATTTGAATTTCTAATGTCTTTACTCCTAGTTAGGTTTGGTAGCAGTTATTCTAGGGATGTAAGGGATGAATAATGTCAGACGTTTATGAAGTGATACTCTTTGGGTCAGGATTCCATAATAGAACGAGTAACGTTTTTGTATATTGACTATTCAGTTACAAGAATATGAAGAAAATCCTTTATTTCTTAAAACTTTAACTTGAATGTTCAATTCTTAGTTTGTGGTATATTACCGGGATTTAATCTCGTCTTGACAGCTTATTTGTTTGATAGCCTTCTCAAGAACTGCATTAGATTAATTTTCAACGTACTTCAAAAAAAAGAGGAGGTTCTCAATTCGACTGTATTTTTTTATGTTTGTTACCTCAGAACTTTAGACTGAGTGAACAGATTTTGATGATTCATTTTTATTTCAAATCTATTGCTTTCCATGTGGTCCCATATAAATTTCAGATCTTGGGCTCCGGAGATACGCAGGGAATTCCTGAAAATCAATTATAAAATGAATACAGAGCGAGATATTTGAAGTCAGTTATGATTTGATGTTACTAAAAAAATTGTCGGTTTACATAAATATAATGATCACGTCTCTTCTTAGTTATAAGCTTTTTATTCGATAAAGTCATTGCTCCAGAATTCTGTTATTATTGTATTCCATACATATTATCTAATTCTAATTCTCCTTGATATCTTAAGAATATCTTTACTCTGCTCCTGACAGAGTACCTCGTCTCATAAACCAAGTTAATATTCGCATTCTACAATATATGATATTATAACTTTACTTCTCTACTACGCATACTCTTCTTTACTTCTCAAGCTTTAGCACGCTTTCCTAGATACGATCGAAACAGCTCTAAATATATACATTTTTTAGAACTCCTTATAAATCGTTGTATTATAAATAGTTAGTTAATATTAATTGTTAATTTTTGCAGATAAATGAATAAAAATCGATCCTGCATCACTATGATAGATTGCCACTAGGCATTTAGTCAGTTCATTCAGTCCCAATGTAGTCCTAAAGTGAAGGTGAAGCATTGAAGCATTAATAAAAATGTTAATAAAAAATAAGAAAGATATGTCATAGTATGTAGTATTAGACGATTCGATTATATATAATAATCTCGCCGCCACACAACAAGGCATTGCTTCTAAGACAAGCTGACAAAGATCGTGTGAGGCCCGAACGGGTTAACGTCGCCCAATAGAGTGACGACTCTCGCCGTCGCGAGTGCGAGGCCCGATTCTCAGCCTTCACATGATACTACCATATACCTGGCAACTTTTGAATCAACTACGTCTAGTTGGTATTGTTATATAATCGAAACCTTATAGAGCGCGACATCCAAAATATTAAGTAACAAATGCACAACAATGGCTCAGCACACTTGAGGCCGAGTGCGAGGTCGCCTATTCTCGGCCTACACATGATATACCACCATGGCGACTTTTGAATCAATTATGTGTTGTTGGCATTGTTATATAATAGCCCGAACAGGTTAACGTCACCCGATGCCCCACCGCGTCGAACGTGACATCCAAAACGTTCAGTAACAAATGCACAACAATGGCTCAGCACACTTGACAGCGAGTGTGAGGTCCCCGATTTTCAGCCTACACATGATACCACCATGTATCTGCTCACTTTTGAATCAATTACGTGTTGTTGGTATTGTTATTTGATAGCAAGTCTGTATACTTTCGTTTTTTTTTATTGCGAAATTCATTACAAAACATCTTATTTGCAAATTTTCATGAATTTTGTGTTTCCGTTAATGAATAGTTCTCGTTTAATAATGGTTTTTGGAAATTAAATGTTTTGGTGATTGAATTTTCATAACCGATCACACTTATTACTCTCTATCAATAGATTAGATTATCGATGCCGGTCCAAATCGACCTTTAAACATACATCTTACGTCTAAGATTTTTCCTGGGTCCATAGAACTTCTTTCGACGAATCTGACAAAACCAATGGGTTACCAACCGATCAAAATATCTTCTATACCACAAACAACGAATGCTTGTGATGTAATATTTTTGACATTGACATTTGACAGGTGGCAGCGCGCGTGTGGGAGGAGGGATATATTGTATTCTTCCCGCCAATGAGCTGTCAAAATAGGACAAATTTGGGATAAGTTTTGTATTACACTTATGGTTTTGTTTTTCTTTTACAAATAAAAGTAGATTAAATATATATTACACTGCAATGTCGAAACAAGAAGAAAGTGAAGATAATTGGATGGCTGAGCTAGATAATTTGTGTTCTAAATTAAACGTAGACCCTGTAGCTGCTAAGAAAGCGAAAGATTCATTTTTAGAAATTAAACGCAACTATACTCTTGATGTAAGTATGTTAAAAAACTCAACTAGAATATAATTTTGCTTTCTAACTAAGCAGTTATCTATTTATTTGGTAATTTCGTTTTTAAAGCATATTACGTGGGGCTGTCCTTTTGTTTTTTGAGTAAATCACATGACTGATATTTTATTACAGTTTTCAGCATAAAAATTATTATTTATATATTTCAGGGCGAGATTCAGCATTGGATGGCTTGTGCTTTATATGTAGCGTGTCGGACTTCCATTACACCGACCGTACAAACTGGAAAGGTTGTGGAAGGCAATTGTGTTAGTCTAACTCGTCTTCTTAGACTTTGCAATATAAGGTTTGACCCATTTTTTTATACTTAATCTCATTTAATAATAATTATAGAAATATTCAAGAAATACTTATGGTTTTACAGTCTTATACAATTTTTCAATAAAATCAAAAACTGGATGGAAATGGCTTTGATGTCAACTGATTTCAAAGATAGAATTACACGTTTGGAGCATAAGTTTGCCGTGTCGACAGTTCTTTTTCGTAAATTCCAGCCAATTTTTCAAGAAATATTTTCTGGTTTAACAAATGAGCCATTGAAGTGTAATACAAAGAGCAAAAAACAGAAGTAAGTGACAATGAAAAAAACTTAGTTTTGCATGATGAACTGTTTCTTATGAATCTTCCAAAACATTTTTTAATAATATCATTTTCAGATTACAACCCTGTACAACAAATGCCCTCTTTGAGTTCACATGGTGTTTATATGTTTGTGTTAAAGGAGAATTTCATAATTCAGCAGATGATTTAGTAGACATGTACCATGTCTTACTCTCTTGTCTAGATTTTGTGTTTGCTAATGCCTTCATGTCTAGGCGCATTGACTTGATTAATCCTGCCTTTAAAGGTATTATTATTTTTAATTCAATATTCATAAGCTTTTTTATTGAAATTTATTTTATTGGTATAACACAGGTAGTATAAATATAATAATTATCTTATTTAGGTTTACCCCCTGATTGGCTAAAAGATGATTTTGAATTACCAAAAAAAGCTCCTTGCATAATATCTGTATTGTGTGAGATTAAAGAAGGTCTAGCTGTTGAAGCTGCTACTATGAAGGAATACAGTTGGAGACCTGTAATAAAGTCATTCTTTGACAAAGGGGTAAGCAATAATAATATGGATATATATCTTTCTACAAAACAATATAACTCCAGAAAATTGTATAAATACTAAGTATAAAATAACAAAGAGTAGATTATTTATTTTTATTAAAATCAATTTATTTAAAAAAAAAATAAACATATTAATTATAAATAATTTATATATGATTAAATTAACTTGAATAAATAACTTTAATACAATTCCTGAATCTAATGAAAATGTTTAAAATTTTAGATATTAAAAGGCAATTGTGACCAACTCGCTGGATTATTGGACATTGGGAACTTTGATGTAAATCTGAAGTCATTGAATAATCTATATGAAACCTATGTTCTTAGTGTTGGAGAATTTGACGAAAGGATATTTTTAGGTATGTTTTTTTATAACCTTCAAAAAGGTTTCATATGATGCCTTAAAGATTCTTAATTAGAAAAAACATTGCACATGTCATTCATAATAATAATACAAAATGATGATTTCTTTGAAGCCTTTATTATTATATTTTTTCAACAAAGATGGTAAAAAACAAGTTTTAAAAATAAGTATGGGTTTTATTTTATTAGTAAGAATGACTAATTTTGTAATATTGCAGGTGAACATGCCAATGAGCAAATAGGTACCAAAAAAGTTTCTGGTGATGAAATAAGTCAAGTGATTGCAAGTTTTGGACCAGTAAGTGATTATAATCACTGATGCTATATTGACATTTGCTTTATATCTTGTACTTTATTTATTTTTACCTAAACTATTTTAAATTAAAATTTTGAATACTAAATCACATAGACAACAAAATTTAATTTAAATTTGTAGCAATTTCAACCTAGTTTGTATGATATACATACATTAGATCATTATAAGACACACATAAAAATCTAGTGTATTTCACTTTACAAAACAATTAATATTGTATGTATTCATGAAATCCTAAAGATGAAAATTGAATAATTTCTGCTTTTACTTCAGAGTGGCCGAGCCTGTCCAGACACTCCCCTGACTGGACGATGTTATCTTGCTGGACGTGAAGAGCTTACTCCAGTATCTGAGGCCACAAATAGCTTAGCACGCTTAGCTACCTACCTACGGAATACTAAGCCTTACCCATCCACACCGCTAATGAGACTTTTTGCGTAAGACTTGCTTTATAATTGTTTAGTACCTGGAGGACCGAGTTTTGCTCGGTTTGTTTGTTTTTGTAAATCGTGGATTTTGGAAATTACATTTAGATACAAATTACTGAGTAATGAAATATGCTTAATATTTTTCGATCTTACCGACCTAATAATAAGAAAATACGAAGTGGTGTTTTTCACAAAAGAAACAACTTTAAAAAAAAAGGGAAAGAAATAACAAAATCATCTGGATCAACAAAAAATAAAAAATAAAAAAAGCAATGATCTAGAATCGAAAAAAAAAGTAAAAAAAAATAGTGTGAAAATGATCGTGACACGAACCATGGCCGTTTGTTTTGGGGCCGCCCAATTACCGACCGAGCTATTATAACATTATTTTGCGTCGCAATTCACCGTCATATTCGAATAATATTTTTCATTCCCTGAGAACAGGGATAAAAAGCTAGATCGATTTTTCGCAACCGAATCTACACACATACAAAATTTCATGAAAATCGCTGGAGCCGTTTCCGAGATTACATTCATCTATATACAGCGTGTCGTTACCATCGCGACAATAAATGAACACACGTCTAACGCTACTTGCCAATAATCATAAAAAAATATTAACGTTAAACAAAATCCATAATTAAAAAAAATATTTTTCAAACAAACTAATTAAGTAAAATAAAACAAAATTTGTAACATCCCATACAACTCGCGCCACGGCGTCGTATTACAAGCCTCTCCTTCTAACAGTATGTTTTGTCTCTTTTAAATTCATTCAACCCATTCACATGCTTTGTGACCTTTACAAATGAACTTTACGTTACCGTTTTATAGGTAAAATGATGTTCTAAAATTCTTTGTTTTGGAAAATTTAATAACTCTGTAAATATTTATGTTTAAAGAATGTAAATGTTTAATAAAATTTTAAAAAGTTATCCCCTATATGTGTGTTCATTTATTGTCGCGATTGTAAAGACACGCTGTATACAAAAATTGCTCGTTTAAAGGTTAAGATTAATATTAATCATAAAGAGGTAAAGTAACAGCCTGTACATATCCCACTGCTGGGCAAAGGCCTCCTCTGTATAGAGGGTATGAGGGCATAGTTCAACACACGACCCCACTGCAGATTGGCGCACTTGCAAAAGTCTATGGCCGCGGTTATCACTCAACATCAACACTTTTTCACATAAAGAAAGAAGATTCAATTTGATGATTTATGCCAAACTTTTTACCATATTTCTTAAAAATCATAATCACACAATCATAAACTTATTATGAATTATCATTTATTATGGATATTTATTTGTATTATAATTTATGGATATTTATTTGTTGAGATTACTAATATATAAAATTTCCAACCTCTATCTACAGAGAATGTGGAGTCAGTGAAGAAACAATAAATACAAATGTAATTAAACCATGCAATGGTTGGACAGAACAGTTTTCAAAAAGCTTGCAGGAATGTAAATGCAGCAACGAGACTATAACATTCCGTTGCAATATGGTCTGTTGCCTGTATTATAAAGTATTTGAACATATTATTAGAGAAGAACATAGGAAAAAGCCACAGGTGTCATTACAGGTAAAACAATTTTAATTTTGTGGGGTTTTGTTAATATTTGTCATTTAATGAATTCATGTGTATATTAAAATTTATTGGCTTATTTAGACTGAATTAAAATTGATTATTTTTTCAGATTCTCCTATCGCAGGAAACATATCAGCTGACAGTATTTGCATGTTGTACTGAGGTTGTTTTGCATGCATATGGTGTGAACTCTTTACGATTTCCGAGAGTGCTTCAGATTTACGGGCTCAGTGCATTTCACTTTTACAAGATTATAGAGCTAGTTGTACAGGCCCTTGTTGATAAACTTAGCAGGGATGTTATCAAACATTTAAATGCGGTATGTTTTTACACTCCATGTTATACATACTAAATGATACCCATACTGTTACTATAGGAAAATTATAACGAAAAAATTCTGAATTGTTTTAAAATGATTCATTTAATATTGAGTTATTTATCATAAGTTCTTGTGTGACAGGTGGAGGAAGAGGTATTAGAATCTCTTGTTTGGACATCTGAGAGTCCATTATGGGACCAACTCAGCAAAACACCTGTGCCTGCATCTACAGAGGTGTATGTGCAGGAGTCACCACTCTTTCGAAGAAATATTGGTATGATTATTTCTAATCTTTATCAAAAAAGCTAATTATTTTTGTAAAATAACTAAAATTTTATTGTTAAATAAATAAAAATTCATCCTGTTCCAGCAGTGATAGATCGCTATCTCGCGCCAATAGCTGATCAAGCCAAGAAGCAGCTTTTCAAAGACAATATTAAACCGGGTCAGTCACTTCTAGGTAAAACATAATTCTAGACTGTTTGAATTTATTAGTTCTTGTTAAACATTTTAATTCTTTCTTTGATATAGTATTTGCAGATTTGTTTCAATATCGTATTTTTATGTAGAATAAACAAAACCTAAGTCTATATTGTAAGAAAGTACTGCTTGTCTCTTAAATCTGTCTCTATATAGTTGTGAACAATGTTATTATTTTATTTATTCCAAGAATTCTTTGTTTTTAAATTCTATAACTCTGTTAAGGGATTGTGATCCATGACGAATTGCAATCAATGTATAATTTGCAGAACACATTTTTAAAATTCCTTTTACTTTACAGTACAGACAAATAGTGTGGCCCTCAAGCAAGCTCCCTCGCCCAGTTCACCGCCGCACAATACGTCCAATGGGGAGACGACACCCAACTCGACCCCCAAAAAAACCCACAATTCCCTGATACTTTTCTTCAGGAAGGTATGTACTCTAATAAGAATTATGAGTTCAAGAATAAATAAAATAAATACAATTTTTTCAGTGAAAATCATTTTGCAGTTTAACATAAAACATATTCCTTTGAAAAAAGAATCCAATCAAATTGAAGTTATTAATAAACAAAATTACCAAGTAATGCAAATAGTTTTTATTGTACTAATTTCGATCTATTGGGGCTTATTTTTAATTTAAGGCGCTGTTTGCAGTAAAAATAGGTTTCACAAAAGATTTTTTAGCAAAATCTATACATTTTATAGCAGCAAAAAAAATATGTTAATCTTAATCTTACATTCTAATCTACATCTAAAAGAGAAATGAATATAGTGTAGAATATTTTAATAACAAGAATTGTAATAATTAATTCATTAAAATTAATTCCAACGCGATGACGCGTTTCGGTTCTCTTCCATTTTCACATGTTGAACAAAGAGAGAGCGCTGAGGCGCGTTGCTAGATGGACCTATGCCGCTCGTCCTCCGCTCACCGTTACAATATATGCTCCTTATTTATTTAATTTTATTAGATCTTTCGAAAACACGAAACTAAAAAATAAAAAAAGTATATTCACATATTTCGTATTTTTAATTATTTGTATGTATTAATAACTAAAGCGTAATTTCAATATCTTGTGATTGATAAGGTTTATCAGTCCTATACATACAGTGGACACATCATTCTGTGGGGATTGGGTTCAAATAGTAGGTATTTGAACCCAATCCCCACAGAATTTCTTTGTTATATTTTTTGGTGATTGTCTTTTTTGTTTTTATTTACTATTTAATTTTTGTTGACTTTTTGTTTACAGTTTTAAGTTGATTACAACGAAATATTATTGTATTTGTTGAACGTAGAACGCAACAATTGGAGAACAATTTATCAGATAATAAACCAACTTTTCATTATTTAAAATTTTAAACAAGTCTTATATTGTATATTGTTTTTAATTTGTTTTATTAAAATATTTAATTTTTCACCCTAAAACGAAAATTATTATATTTACGAACACGAAAAATAATTGTTTTGTAATTTTTTCATTACCAAATTTTATTATTCAATTTGTTTATTTACCACATTTTATGAAATAAAACAAAATAATTAATTGATTAACAAATTAAAATTGGAAAAAGATGTACCACTCAATATGGTTTGAACTTGGGACCACAGTAATTATTCACCTACCGTAGCGCTCGGACCAATTGGCTACTCCGGGCGCTCACCCTTAATTCAATTTACATAAGCAACCTAAGTTCGATCCTGGTGCTAGCACCAATGAAATTGTTAATTTTATTGCTGACTTATCACATGCTCAGCGATCAAGGAAAACATCGTGACGAAACCTGCATATTTTCGAAATAATAACAAAAAAAAAGTCCGCTAATCCGCAGTGGGTTACATGGTCCCTTTTCACAGCTGTTGGACAATTATTATTATTTAATTTTATTTAATAGATATCATTATGTGAATGTAAAAAAATCCGAGCAATCTATAACATCCGAGCCCGGAATACACTCAGAGACCTTTTTAAAGAGATTAATATACTCACTGTTGCGTCTCAATATATTTATTGTAATATTTTGTATGTTAAAAATAATATTAATAGTTATCTAAAGAATAGTGACAGACATAAACTAAATACTAGAAATAAGGACAAACTAACTACGCCATTGTTTCGTTTACAAAAAGTAAACAGGTCGTTCATGGGGCAAGGGTGTGCGCATGTATAATAAAATCCAACAGTCGATATTAAGTCTGCCACTTGATGAATTTAAACGAAAAATTAAAAGTAAACTTATGGCTAAAGCCTATTATTCTATTGCCGAATATCTTGACGACGCCAATGTGTGGGGTTAATACTGTTGATACTCACGTAGGCTAAAACAAGACTATTGTACATGTACTATTATATTGTAAACTGATTTTTTTAAAAAGAGCAACTGTTTCTTGCCGGTTTCTTCTCAACAGAAACTGCTTTCCGAACCGGTGGTAACTTACGAACGTGTTAATTTCTTGTAAAATTTTGACGTTTCATAAGAACGCACAAGCGTCTATGTGAATAAAGATATTTTTATTTATTTAAAAAAATAAATTCAAAAACGGCTGATTTTCAGTTTTACAGTCTGGCCGTGGTTCGTATGATCGACTTATGCACTCGGCTGCGGTTAACCGATGAAGAGTTAAAACGCAAGATCTGGACTTGTTTAGAGTACTCCGTAATGCATCAGACACAGCTCATGAAAGACCGGCATTTGGATCAAATACTCATGTGTGCTGTCTACGTTATTTGTAAGGTTAGTTAAAATGACGGCCCTGTAATAATTCATTTAGACCACAACCAATTTTACTTATAAATAAGTACCTCAGGCTTTTTCTAGAAATTAGCGTTTTTAAAAAATTACCGCTGTTACCAGATTTCAGGTACGAGTAGTAGTAATAATGCAAATACATCAAAATTTTTACGAGATTGCGCTATATGGAAAAGGCTATCATAATGATCAAATGTGTTTTTAAAGGCGTTTTTGACGACGTTTGTCGTCATATATAAATTTATAAGACAACCTGATCTAAGTACGAAATATAATCGCAGTGGTTAAAATCATTTCTGAGATACATGCAATAAAATATATTGAAATGTTGAAATTGTTCTGCAATAAAATATGTCTTTTCCAGGTGTCAAATAGTACTAATAATCAAGTTGAAAGAACATTTGCGGATATCATGAAATGTTATAGGCAGCGGCCATTAGCTGACAATCATGTCTATAGATCAGTATTAATTAAGCAAAGTACAGGTGACAGTAAGTGTTTTATCTTAGATTTTTATTTCTGTCTTTTTCATTTTATTAATACTATGATCAAAATATTTTCACTTTTTTATTGCAGATTCACCTGAAAGGGGTGATTTAATCAATTTCTATAATAAAGTGTATGTGCAATGCATGCAGAATTTCGCACTAAGGTTTACCGGAAAACACAAAGATGTAAGTAATTAATCTTACGGAACCCAATATGATAATAGTGAAATATACTCACATATGTTTATGGGACATTACACAAGGAGGCATCACAGAGCTATCACTCCGTTTTTCCTTTAGTTATATACCGTTTGATAATTTACTGTCAATTTATTCGATTCATTTTACAATTATGTAATAATTAATCCTATATGATTTAACCAAAAGCTTTGTCGTTTTGATCGTAACTTCTGCCCTTGCCATATCACAACAAAATCACAATTATTATTTTCTTTAAAAAGTGATCACTGACTAAAAATATTCACCATCATCTTTGTTACGTTGAATTGAGCCGATACTATGTATAAAAAATTGCTATATTTTCAAATGTCATCATCATTTCAGACTGCTCAAATGCTGAACATACGCCTCCCACAGATATGTTTTCAAATATAATGGATAATTGTTTCAGGAGTGCAGTCTATCTCCCTTGCCGGCGGGGCGTGGAGATGCGGCATATTCGCCTGCCGGCCAGCGCGTCTCCGACCGCCACCAGCTCTACGTGAAACCTCTCACCACGCCGCCTCCCACCAACCACCACCTCACCTATCGCTTCAGCCGCAGCCCGGCCAAGGTGAGGCGCTTTAAACTGATGCGCCTAAAACCAGTAACACACTCTTTCAATTCATATTTTCTATAGTCACGTTTTAAGAAAAAAAAGCCATATTTTGTGTCCAACCGAAAATCTTATGTAGGGCGAAAGTGGTTTCTTCGCCAAAAAATACTGTTTAAGTGCAAGAAACACAAATTTGAAAAATTAATTTTTGGTCTTTTGTATGAGAAATATTTTTTTATGCGAAAAAGTGGCTCATGAGCTGGCAGTTCACCTGAAGTTAATGTTGCTCATGACTGCACACTGAGCGCCGATCATCGATCAGCTTAACTCATGTAATCGTTAAATGGCCTATACTGCTATTTAATTGTGGCAGGATTAGACAACTACATGTGTTACTCAGACATAATTGTTTCGGATCTGGGAGTTTGACCACGTGAAATTTATGTATGTAAAACATCCTTACAACACAACATAATGTTTTTCTACATTAAGGGCAATATAAAAAAAAAAACAAGTGTTTGTACTTATGTACGCACGTAAAAGATTATACTTCCATTGTGTAATAAAAAAATGAAAATAACTAAAAACTATCCCGTATGGTCTTTTTTTTTTTTGTAAAAAAAGACATTAAACGCAACTGATAACGGAATAATAAAATAACTAGGAATTTTGAGTAAATGTCAAAAAGTTGTCGTTAATATGACCATGAATATGGTGTCGCTGTATGCTCGCCCCCGTCATTATTCCCGAACGCGCAGAAAGAAGTATAACTTAAAAAAAAAGAAACTGGCAACTTCACATTAAAAAAAAATTGCAGGATCTGCACGCGATCAACACGCTGGTGTCGTGCGAGGTGGGCGGGATGAAGCGCGTGGCCGAAGGGGGCGACGTTATTAAGCGGCCGCGCTGCGCGGCGCCGGGCGTGGCGCGCAAGCTGCAGGGGCTCGTCAGCGACCGGCAGGCAGTCTAGGAGTGACGCTACCGCAGGTATACTATGCAGTGTCCACGATGATACTAGCGTCGCACACGCACTTTGTTAACAACTGCAGTAGCGTCGCATACGTATTTGTTATCAACTGCGGTAGGGCCTCGCAACAGTCTGCTGTTGCACGAATGGGTTGTTAGGAGGTGGCGACGCATCTACAACCCTACTGGTGTTGCAAATGTCAATTTAAGCTTGTGTATTGTATTATATTTAAGCTATTGTTTTAATGTGCAATCTTAAGTACAGAGATTAGCACTATAATAAACTTTAAAATTTATAAAAAGCAATGGTGACATCTCTCGTTCGAATTATCGTTGTAAAACGATATTCGAAATTGTTTGTATGCTGGAAAGGATATAACAATAGATGCGCCAAGCATTGCTTCAGATGCTAAATAACAATGTAGAAAGAAGGCCTTAAGATTTTCGTCGCTGTGGCTATCAGCCGTTTAGCTCAGTGGCTAGAGCGTCAGTCCGCGAATGCTGAAGACGTGGGTTCGATTCCCACAGCGGCGACAATCTTTTCGTACTTTTTCTACGTGTTTTAATATTTAAGCTGCTGATATTGCTATACCTGACAACAAAAATAATTAAAACATGTAGAAAAAGTACGAGAAGATTGTCGCCGCTGTGGAAATGTTGTGTGTTCGAAATTGTTTGTATGCTGGAAAGGATATATAACAATAGATGCTCCAAGCATTGCTTCAAATGCCGAAATAACAATGTAGAAAGAAGGCGTTAAGATTTTCGTCGCTGTGGCTATCAGCCGTTTAGCTCAGTGCCTAGAGCGTCAGGCCGCGAATGCCGAAGACGTGGGTTCGATTCCCACAGCGGCGACAATCTTTTCGTACTTTTTCTACATGTTTTAATGTTCAATCTTAAGTGCAGAGATTAGGACTATAAAAAAAACTTGAAAATTAACAAAAATAATGTTTCCTCAAAAAAGCCTCATATATTTTTTTATGTAAATATGACAATTTATTAACATACAATTGTGAATAAGCAATAACTATACTAAAGCGAAAGTTGACGCATACATCATACTCTAACAACCCCGGTTTCTGAAACACTGATCATTGTAGAAGTTAGCTAATCGGCTTTCAAAAATAGTTTCTGAAATAGGTTTATTTTCTCCAATATATTCTAAAATCCAGTTTTAATGAATACATATGAACTTAGAAACATAATTAGGGTAAAAATGGTCATCGTCTTTTAAAAATATTATATACATATGGCTAACTAATATAACTACTATTATTCTGCCTGGGAAGATGGAAGGCAAAAGACCGAGCGCTCTATGCATTAGTCAGATCAAATTCGCTCCACATTGAATACCACCGTGTAGCAATTCGCGCCGCCGAGGATAAGAAAGTAAACTCAGACACAAGAGATCACAACCGTCAGTATTGAGGATATATGCCACAAGTGCTAATGCTATTTTAAATTGTTTATTCTCAAATGTGTTCATTTTCTTTACAGGTCGAGTCAATGAATGCGACACATGGAACACTCAATGGATTTAATTTTGTAGTCATATTTATTTTATATTACCAAAAATTTGCTTATGCTCTCTAGATGATTTTCCTTAGTTTGCGAACATTTGTAGAACTTGACGAAATTCGTGTTAGCAAAATCAAAAATAAAATCAATTGTCGAAATTTTAAGTCAGTCTTTGGACTGGTTCCAGTAATCATTGGCATTGGTGCTAGAGGAATAAAATGTCAGTTGAAAAGTTAATTGGGATTGCACTGGCATTAATGAAGTATATTGATCTCATTTCTTATTTATGTTGGGTGTTTATAGTATTGATATGCCATATAATGTAACTTGCTCATTGCTATGTAAGTTCTAAGTCGTGTGATATGCACATACAGAGTAATGGCTGTGGATGCATCCGAATCCAAAATCATATGGGCCGACTTTATATATATATATGTAACTTAGTAGTAATGTTTAAATGGAGTAATGACAAAGTAAAAGATTGTTTTTAAGTTTAATCATTTTTATATTTGTATAAATCGAGAGAAAGTTCTGCTTTTATTGCTTTTGACAAACTAGCATCAATAAACAAATAAATTTAGTGTGATTAAATACACATTATAGGTAGTAGGTACAAGTTACCTAGTAGTAAGTTCCTCATGTTTTATTGACTGAATTTAATACTATTCAGTTTTAAATATATTTTATTTTCTTCCATTAAATTTTATTATTATTCCTAAACTTCGTAAGTCATCAGACAAAGTATTAAATCAATTTTGTTTTAACGGCGTAATCGAAATTAAATGATTATACATTTCGGACATACCATTTTATCATGTATTCTTCATAGATTTTACTGTGTAGTATAAAAAATATAAAATATTATTCTAAATCTGAATTTTATTTAACATATTAACCTACCAATATTTTTTTAATTTCTCACAATTTCAGAATTAATTAAAAGTATAGACACGCAGGTTTCCTTAATATAGGAGTAGTGCTAAATAACTTTACGGGTTCTATATAATGAAAGGATTTATATAATTTAATTTCAGTATGACACAATTGACAAAGGAAATATTCATGGATTTGGTTATTCACATTATTTAAAAGAATCATTTTTAAATGATTGTTTGTTTGAGATACTATTTATCTATACTCATTATAGAATAAAACTCGATGGATATAGGATGTATTAAGTAGCGATGGGTCCTACAGGACATGAATATGCAATGGCTATGTTGGTAAATATCGCAAGCCAGGATAAAGAGAAATTTTTTTACACATTTACCTAGCGTAGGGCATAGGAAGAAAATAACACCAAATAGGTAACGCCGCTTTGCCATCAACTTCAACTCGTCTTTTTAGATTGTCGGTGTGGCGCACACCGCGTGCGCACGCATCGTTATAATTTTCTTATATTTTTTTCCAAACGGTCCAAAAGAAGGATAACGTCAAAAATATTGAAAATGTACTCGCGACACGATCAACGAGGATAGGAACTTCTTACACAAACAAAAGGAATAGTGATTCTAATGTATATTTACTCAAACTACGAGTCAGAAAGGTAAAAGGAATTATTGGTAAGGTTTATTAAAATACTCACTTGAACCTCATAATACGTTATTACTACTGTTTTGTGTTTGAATTGTACTGTCCTTAACATTTGAATTAGGACTACGAAAAAATTTGGTGCCAGCGAAACTTCTCCCGAGAGTAAACAATAGCGCCTCGTACATTATAATATATACAAATCATATGTATATGCTCTTGATAATGTTGGGATGATTTTATTTTGAAGTTATACTTCTTTTGGCGCATATGGAAAAAATATGAGAGAACAATTTGGTAAAAATTTACAACAATACATTCAGTTCTTCAAACTTAAAAAAAAAATTTAATCGATAGAGAAATGTAAATAATGAAATATTATACAAGTTAAAACCCATGAAAAGGCATACTTTTAATAAAAAAAAAAAAATTAAAATTTGTTATTTTAATTTAGAGTCTGCAATTTTATTCTTTTGATTTCAAAAACATGAATACACAGTACGGAGGCAGGGGATAAATTTGAAAAGTTGTCAGGCAAGGTGGCGGTTCACGTGGTGTTAAGTGAAACCGCCACCCATGGACATCCATATACACATGAGGTCTTGCAAATGCGTTGACAAAAAGTGGACCCCGGTTACTTCATCAGACGAAACGCGAAAGTATAATATTTCTACTTCACGCTATTCAGTAAGGCCGTGGTCCTTCGCCGAACTATTCTGCTCTTTTCATTCTTACATCAGTAAAGGCTGTTGCGTAACTCTAACCACATGTGATTTCCTTTTACCAAAATATGCGAGCAGTACGCACGATTGACTAAGCAGTTGTTTACCGTGTCATACTGTGGCTTTATAACCTATTTTACTAATTAGTAAATAATTACTTATCAATTACACTTAACATTTCAGCTATATAAAATGGAAGCAAAGCTCCGGTTATATTGAAAACTTATTTTATAACGAAGAACGCGAAAAGTTCCCAGTCGCAGTTTACACATAGGCTACACATTCAAGTCACATGGACTGTTTATTTCGAAAGTGAGGTCATTCAAGAATAACAATCTCACGGGTGCCGATTACAAAGTAAACGTAGCTTTGATTTTACAAAAAACAATTGTCATTCAGCCGCAGTGAGCCATTATCCTTACTAAGCTATATATAAATTTTTATGTAAATATTGACGATTCATAAGAACGCGCAAGCGTCTATTCATTTGCGCGTACTGTAGTCTTTTTGAAACACTATATAACGAATAATCGGATCTAAGACTAGCTAATTGGCGGTTCAGAGTACCGCTTCCGAACAGAGTGCTTTCGAAACGAGGCTTCATTTACGGCGGATTCTTGCATTAGTTGCCGCATTGGGTTGCATTGGCTGTGGCCGGCGGTGGTCCCTTGGGCGCGGCGGGCAGGCTCTGGCGGGGTCAGGTGGCGCGCCCCTGTAAAGTCAAAACATATGAAAACCATTTTTCTGCGGTCATCGCTTCTAATTAATAGGATCGGTCAATGAACGACAATGCGGTAACTGGACGCTGTAAATTGTTCGAAAAGTCGGTAATTCAAAAATCAAATAAATCGCTTCTATGTTATTAGGATATTATATTCAATATTGTGTCGCTCCAAACTCGCGGCAAAAGATTTAGATAAATTGAATTCGATTTAGCCGATAATCTCGTACTTTCACACGAGTTATGCAGTATTTGTTATTTCTCTCTGTGCTATTAAGTTGAAAGGTTGTCAATCGTTCCCTTGTCCAGTGACGTACGGAATAAAAGAAAATGAACCATTTCTCTAAAACCAAAGGTATAGTTTGGAATGAAGCCAACTACGGATATATCACCTCTTCGGGAGAGATATCTTTTCTGCCACTCACTCGCAAGCTACACAGCTCTAGAGCTCTTGTCACCTGACGTTGCTCTTAGATCGCCTGACGGTGCTGTTGTCACCTGGGGGTGCTCTTGTCACTTTACCTTGCCCTCCTTGATGGCGATGACGTAGCGCTGCGCCACGCGCTCCGGCGGGGAGTAGCCGTCGGCGTACGACGAGTCCTGAGATACGACACGAGACATTATACACGATAAACAACAGCCATTGACCGTCAGCATAGTTGAACTGACACTGGCATCGACTAATAACAAGGTACTACGGTTGCACTGGCAGGCAATGTTCGATATGGTGATATAACTAACAACTTCTGATATATAATGTGTTATGTTGTAATAAATTTTTGTTTACAAAAAATGTAAGTCTTCAATATTCTTATTATCAATGTTCATAAATAATTATCTTTGCTTGTTATAATTCATGACAGGATAACTGAGATATTGGATTAAGGTACCTCTCATTGGATCGCCGCTATGTAAAATTTTGTTCCTATATACAACATAAAACACAGAATTCCGACGACTAATGAAGACCGAACAATTTGCATCTCAAATGAATTGTTTTAACACTTGTTTGTTAAGAAAATTTACAACTTCTCGTGATAAGACGATGTAGTTAAATCTTAGTTAAATGGTGATGATACCCATGTTATTGTGTATTATACTACTGTGGAAATTTTAAGTAAAAGATGATAAATTAAATTAGAAAATTAAAATAGGAGACCAATAGTAAGCTGAAAAATTTGATAACTATGGCATCATATAGCCAGAGCGCATATAGATATAAAAATCAATCATCAAAACTTTATTTATAACTATTGTAGGTCCACGCAGGTCTACCAATGGATTGAACAGGCAGGCTCGTCTGGGGAAATATCAAAGCCTCGTATATGATTTGCGTGAAGTTAAGCATAATAATTTCACGTTTCCTCTGGTGAGTGAAGTAACCGAGGACCAGTTTTAAAAAAATCCATAACACATTAGCGCCACCCGTGGTACTGTAGCCATACGGGCGGTGGTAATCACTTTTGACGAAATAATTCTTGGCGGAGTGAGGTACGCAAACCACTGTTCCTTCTGTCTTCACGCTCACCTCGAACAGCACCTCGTAGGGGTCGGCGGCGGAGCCGGGCAGTCTGTTCCACGACCGCCCGGTAGAAGCAGGTGGTCTGCGGGTAGAGGGCCATCACCACGGCGCCCTTGGGGAACAGCGCCTGCTCGTCGGTGCGGGGGTCCGCGCGCATCAGCGGCAGCGGCACCACGCGCCGCTTGCTCAGCACGTGGCGGTTCTTCTGCTCCTCGTCGATGTCGTCCACCTCGTACTTGCCCTGGGCGGGCAGCCAGCTCACCACCTGAAAGGTCAAGCGTGAACGGTGAGGTTGAATGTAATTTTATTTCAACATGTTCTTTTGAGTTTAACACCTACTGTGCAAGAAAATATATACATCATAAAAATAAATTTACCAGTTATTGGCTACCCTTTGCCGCATCTTTCTCGCACCGTCTGACTCGTGCGTAGTACCACCGTAAAGAAACAATAGATAGCGCACCTCGGCGAGGATCCAGTTGTACTTTGTTATCGGTGACGTGCTCACACAAAGCTCTCACCGGCTGCCTCGTGCGTAGTACCGTAAAGAAACAATAGATAGCGCACCGCGGCAAACATCCACTTGTACTTTCTTATCGGTGACGCGCTCACACAAAGCTCGCATCGGCTGCCTCGTGCGTAGTATCGTAAAGAAACATTAGATGGCGCACTTCTACAAGAATCCAGTTCTCCTCCTAGTCGGAGAAGCGCTCACTCGAAGCTAGCACCGGCTGCCTCGCGTAGTACCGTAAATAAACAATAGATGGCGCACCTCGGCGAGGATCCAGTTCTCCTCCTTGTCGGAGACGCGCACCAGGGCGGCCACGGCGTCGCCCGCGCGCGCCACGTGGCCCGCGTCCGCCGGCACCGCGCCGCACAGCGGCGGCGCCCGCTCCCCCACGCGGCCCACGTGCAGCGGCAGCGTCTGCGCCGCGCTGAGCAGCATCTTCATCAGCGCGCCGCACCCGATTGTCTCCTTGTTGCCGGCGTGCCGGGCCTGCGGGAGGGCGTCACGCTGAAATCGGCCGGCCCACTAACGAGACAGTACGTTTTTTTTATGTTTCGCCTGATGTTAAGTGATAACCGCCGCCCATTGTCGTTTGCAACAGCTGCTTTGCGACCTTTTCATAAAGTGGCCCCTGGATATCTTACTCATCTGACGAAACGCAGAAGTATATCACTTCCACTACAATTTTAAATTATTTTTTAAATATATAATGTAAACATGCGGGTAAACATAGAAAATATAATGTAAACATAGAAAAATTTGTCGCGATGGTAACGAACGACACGCAGTATACATAGAATTTTTGCTTTTTTTTTACCTGTATTCGCCGCTCATTTTTAATGGCTCGTATTTCATAAATCCTTGATAAGGCTAAACGCAGAACTCTTTCTTCTTGCTCAGCTGCAGTGAGGCCAGCCTTGTATAAGTTTTTTAACTGCATTTGCTGTAATAAACAAAGTTATGTTACCTCCTTAACCTTGGAAAGAATTTTAAGGACCACCTCTACAAGATATCTTGATACTATAAAACATTCATACAACATTGATAAAACATTATACAATACTAGTCGGTGCCCAGTGTGCTTCGGTTCACCTAGAAAAATCTTAAGGTATGTCAAGGTGTTTGGGTATATCAATTTTACCTATGGTTCAAAAGATAAAAATATTGAATCTGATCTGTTCTGTGTTTAGCCAATGTTGTTATTTTCATTTAAATTATTTTGTTTTCAATCATGAAAATGTAACAAATACTATCTCTGAACTTTTCAACATATTTTATCTTTCCCAATATGTATGATAAATCAATTGAAATGCATGAGATATGGTACGGTTACAACGCAATTTATCGATACGAGGAGATGAGACCATATAGCATATCAATTAAATGCATTTGTTATGGTTACAATGAAACATGTCAATAAAATATACTTTTTGGACATACTTTCGTGTTGATCAGGTAATAAAAAATTATAAAAAAACTAGCTGACCCGGCAAACATTGTCTTGCTGTATAAATTATTTCTAAGGAATTTGTAGGGTAGAAAAAAATATTAGGGGTGGAGCACCACATTTAGGGGGATTAAAAATAGATGTTGTCCGATTCTCCACCCCGGCCGATATGTACACAAAATTTCATAAAATCGGTCGAACAGTTTCGGAGAAGTTCAATTACAAACACCGTAACACAAGAATTTTATGCAGCATGTCGTTTCAATCGTGACAATAAATGAACACACGTCTAACGCTACTTGCCAATAATCATGAAAAAATATAAACGTTAAAAAAAAATCCATAATTAAAAAAAATATTTTTCAAACTAATTAAGTAAAAAATAAACAAAATTTGTAACATCCTATACAACTACAACTGACTGATTCATACATTGAGAGACTTTTTCATTTGTTGCCACAGCGTCGCATTACAAGCCTCCCCTTCTAACAGTATGTTTTGTCTCTTTTAAATTCATTCAACCCATTCAATGCTTTGTGACCTTTACAAATGAACTTTAAATGAACTTTTCGGAATATCTCGACGACGCCAATGTGTGGAGTTAATACTGTTGATACTCACATAGGCTAGAATAAGTATATTATATTGTACCCTGATATTTTTGAAAAAGAGCAACTGTTGAGTTTCTTGCCGGTCTCTTCTTAACAGAAACCGCTTTCCGAACCGGTGGTACCTTACGAACCTATACACATAATCTTTGATGTAAAATTTGACGATTCATAAGAGCGCGCAAGCGTCTATTTGAATAAATATATTTTTGATTTTGATTTTTACATTACAGTTTTATATGTAAGGATGTTCTAAAATTCTTTGTTTTGGAAAATTTAATAACTCGGTAAATATTGATGATTAAAGAATGTAAATATTTGATACAATTTTAAAAAGTTATCCTCTATATGTGTCCATTTATTGTCGCGGTGGTAACGACACTCTGTATATTATATTCTATGTTGCTTTACTTGTGAAGAACTAGATGAATCTTCAGTTGCAGGAGAAGACTCAGCAGCTTTTTCTGCTCTCAGTATCTGTTCAATACATTGCTCATTTCTTCCTCTCTCCGCTTCTATGTCATATAAATATCGATGTAAAGCTCTCAACCGCTCCTGAAATTATTCAATTATTAGTTGTAGTTAACTCATTTAAATTTCACAGTTTTTTTATATTCTGAGACTCAAACATGGGGCACAACTTCAATTAGGACAAGAGTGGCGAGAGAAAGGAGCTAGTGAGGTCCACAGGGCAACAAATAAGAAATTTAGAATTAAATAAGAAATTTTGGGACAGTGACAGTAGTCATGCTGGCTATAGTGGACTAGTATGTTAACTGATGTTTGCCTGTTATCTTGCAAAATGTTTGAAAGTAGTATCCCCAAAGGAGGATCCTCCTTTACCACAAGTATGCTTTAGTTCACTCCATGGAACAAACAATTGAATACTTGACTATGGCAGGTATTTTGTATAACTGATGTTACGCTTTCAGTCTCTTGTAAAATTTTAAAGATTGATGGAGTCAATCTTGTATCTTTTATTAACTGATGTTAACACTTTCAGTCCTTAGACTAAGGTAACCATGAGGAGCACAATCGCCTTCTGTTTCTAAAATGACTATTCACAATAAATAGTTATATTTCAGATCCATATTGTATATCCTTACTAATATTATAAACGCGAAAGTTTCTACGTATGGTTGAATTTTTGTTACTCTTTGAAGCAAAAACTACTGAATACATTTTAATGAAACTTTACAATAATATAGGTTATACATCAAAATAACACATAGGCTATAATTTATAAAGATATTGTGTGAATTATCTAAAATATAGGTAATGATAAGTGTCAACTAAGTAGGAAAAAATTCAGCCATCTGCGAGATTTTCTGGTGTATAAGAAAAAACTCATTGTTTCTTCCCTTAGGCCGCATGGGCAAAGCCACCATTAACAGCTAGTAAAACATAGGATAAACAACTGACCTGCACCTGCTGCGCTGCAACATCAGCTGTGAGAGGCATCACTTTGTAATTCACTTGATAACTTCCAGGCCAATAAAATAATGTGGTACCAAGAGAAGCATACAAACGCCTAAAGTAAAACAAATAGACTGAAATATAATAGATGCAAATAACATCAATAATTTATCTCCAGCATTTGCAATTAGAGTGAATTGGCCATTGATTAGACTAGTTCATATCCCTTCTAACTTTATGAGTATTCCACACCCAAAAATACAGTTTGGAACTTTTTTGGGTAAAAATTCCGAACAGTATGTCTCGTTTTTCAAGCTAGAAAAAAAATTTTATCGATAGAGAAATGGTAATAATTAAATATTACATATTGATTGAAACATGATTGAAACATGATTATTACATTGGATTGAAACATGAATATAAGTAAGGGAAACTATTTATATATTTCAAAAACATTATTTGGATTGTAAAAATATTAATTATCAAAGTCATATAAATACATAACTTAAATACAACAGTGACAAATTAAAACAAAAAGTGAAAAAATCTCTATATATATTAGATTGTAAAGTTTGTTTGTTACGCTTTCACACCAAAACTACTAAACCGATTATCATGAAACTTTGTACACATAATCTTAAAGGCATTAAAAAGGACATATGATTATTTTTATAAAAAAAATATATTTTTTGAAAACAAGATAAACGGACTTTAACGCGGGCGAAAAGCTAGTATTATATAAATATAAATTATATGTAAAATATTATTAGCCTTAATCATAAAGGTGAGTAACGATCAATAAATATTAAATGAAAGGAATTACTAACAAAGAGCAGTATTTTGTATATTGTTACTCCATCTATCATTATTTTAACTAACTTTATGTTTATAACGTATAAAATATAAAACACAAAATTCTACCTTAGCGTTCAGGACCACAACAAACAACTTTTTTTTTTATCTTGCCTTGCTAATGTGACATTTATCTAATACAAAATTACAAATGGCAACATAATAGATACATTATTTTTTGTCGTTCACTGTCTGCTCTGCTTATCACTGGCCAACTCATAAAAAATTATTTAGTAAAAACGACAAAGATTCTGGTGGTCATATTCAGCCTATAATCCGTTATTATGATAGAAGATTGCCAAATAAATAAAATCAGTATAAGATGTAGATTGTCAAAGAAAAAAAAAATTGTCAAGAAATAAATCTCAATCACCAGAAGAATTCTTTGAAATTTCTTAATATTTGACTTCTTAATATTGACTTTATAAATATTGTGGCTTTCCATTCAAATATAAAATCGTTTATTAATTTTCAATAGTAATATATCAGCATCTGCAAAAAACGCAATAATGCCGATGGCTCACAAAAGGGAAAATTATTATATTTTCGTCTTTTCTCTATTCATACATTTTTGTTTTTATTAAATAAAGATAATTTTTAACTTTTTTGATGATAGCATAAACAATTATAACAGTCAGTACTTTTTTTTCTAAATGGTCATTGTAGATTGTAGATGTCAGATTGTTGTTTGGGGATAGAATATCTGGTGAAATTAATCTATAAATACTACGATAATAACAACATGTTTATTCTATTTTATGTTTGTTTATGAAAATATTGTATTGATAGCAGTTGGTAAAAAAAATATTTTAAAAGTAGGTCAATTGATTGTTAACGGATTGGTTACCGGTACGTCAGGTAGCTTCTTCGTAATCACTGGTCCTCTTTGAAAAATTAAGTGATTTGTGTTATTTCTTCAACACGACAGCGAATAGTTTTATGTATAGTGGATATTTTAGAAACGGTACGGAAAACTTGACGATAATAAGTGAAAGTGGATATGGCAGATAATGATGATTATTTAGAGTCCATTGACAACAATCATTTGGACGGAACCAACGGTTCAATAAACATGACCGACAACAGTCTTGGCGTAAGTTTTCACACACTTTCTTATATTATATATTACTCCCTTCATTTACGAATGATTTAGGATACTATTCTTTGTAAATAAAAATATGTAATATGTAAATGTTTATGTTCTAGCTTTTTCATCCCCTCTTTAGCCATTTTTTTCACATGTTATGCTAAGGCTGTTATATTTTTTTGGATTCATGGCATTTTTTTTAATAAGCTTTATCGAGAACATTAGAACCAATAATATGACGCCAAAAATGTAACCTCAAATTTTACCAGAGATAACAAACTTTTGTTTGTCTAAGTTGTCATTGGTTTCACTAAGTTTGCGAATATATTTTTTGTTTGTACGAATAAAATTTTCTTTAAAATGTTTTTGAGCTATTCATTCATATTATTCTTCTACAAAATCTGTTTTGCTACCTAAGCAAAAAGTTGCCACTAAAATGTTGTTTGGTTCTACTGAACTACTTTGTTTCTATTCTAAATGTACAATGTTATAACAATTTCTATTTTATACCAATACTAGGGTAAATATTAGATGTTGAGATAGAGTAAATATTATTAGTTGTACTATGAATATATATGAAAAAATGAAAAAGAAAAAGCGATTTTTGGGATAATTAACTTATGACTTTGTCTTTCATTATTTTTATTAAGAATTTTAATTGTCTTGTCTTAGGTGCAGTATTGACATTTTACATAGGGCATTACATGTACTTAAGACAAAGAAATATTAACACATATCTTAATTTTAGGTTGGAGATGAAGCTTCAGGTACAGAGGTACCTGATTTAGCAGCCATTAAAGCAAGAGTACGTGAAATGGAAGAAGAAGCAGAAAAATTAAAACAAATGCAAACAGAAGTGGATAAACAAATGAGCATGGGGAGCCCACCAGGACTTAGTAAGGGTCAATTTGGGTAGTTTTTCAATCACCTAACAATATCATGAACTTAGGAAAAATCCTGTTCTCAGGTTTAGCTTGAGCTTTATACAACGTGTCGTTACCATCGCGACAATAAATGAACACACGTCTAAAGCTACGTGCCAATAATCATAAAAAAATATTAGCGTTAAACAAAATCCATAATTAAAAAAAATATTTTTCAAACAAACTATAATTAAGTACAAAAGAAACAAAATTTGTAACATCCTATACAACTCGCGCCACAGCGTCGTATTACAAGCCTCTCCTTCTAACAGTATGTTTTGTCTCTTTTAAATTCATTCAACCAATTCATATTCTTTGTGACCTTTACAAATGAACTTTACGTTACGCTTTTATAAGTAAGGGTGTTCTAAAATTCTTTGTTTTGCAAAATTTAATAACTCTGTAAATATTGATGTTTAAAGAATTTAAATGTTTAATACAACTTTAAAAAGTTATCCCCTATATGTGTGTTCATTTATTGTAGCAATGGTAACGACACGCTGTATGTTGGTTGCCAATTGTATCAATTGTGGATTCTGTAGTCTCTTACATAATTGACTTAAAGCCTGACTAACTTAAAACCCTAAGTTAAATAGCCTAAGTTAAAAACCCTAAGTTTAAAGTCTGACTAACTAAAAAGATAATTATCTTAATTTTGATGGAATTTATAAACCAAGAATTCTAACATTGTGCAGTTACAGATTTTAACAAATTCTACGCCAATTTTTTTCATAACTAATGACTAATCCTAGATAAGTTTTTACTGTTTCGCTATTTTCTTATTTATCTTAAATTTAATTTTTGAATGACTTGTTGGTGTGGTTGCTAAAATTAGCATTAGTGGTCATGGGTTCAATACCCATGAGTGGTCAGGGAGGTATCTGGGGCCCACTTTATTGAAAGGTATGCAATGCAATTTGTAAATAGTTCTTGATTTTTATTAATATGATAACAAAAGTAATGTATTTGTTTAAGCCCTCATACAATTTATTACCCTTTAATACTATTTAGTCATCTTAAATATTTAATATTGTAGCAAGTCCACTCAATATGTCAATAGAAGAAAAAATAGAGGCTGACAACAGATCTGTTTATGTTGGCAATGTGGATTATGGAGCTACAGCTGAAGAGTTGGAACAGCATTTTCATGGTTGTGGTTCAATAAATAGGTAATTCTGAAATCCAAATTTTTAGTTAATTTGATTACTATTCCCATAAAAATCTATTTTATTAATATATTAGAAAAAAAAAATGTTATTGCTTTTATGCTGTAGTGCACCTGTGTTTAAACCTACTAGTATTTTTAATCCATCCAATATTTGAATACATTGTTAACTCTATGTAACTAAAGGGACTGCAATTTTTGACGTTATAAATTGTTGTTTTTAAATGGAGAATAAAATTCATATTATTTATACTAACATGCAAATTTTACAAAGAACAAAAATTTATAGTAATACAAAACAAAATGCTTATTGCATATAGTTTATCCTTGTCTGTATTGGGATAAATTTGATTATATAAAAGTATTTTTCTAATAACTTTGCATGAAGCGCTAGTTCGATGTTTGGTGGAGGCTCAGGATTGTCTGTCTGATGCTTTCCATCCATGATGCTACTCATTTTTCTTACTGAATGAAACTGTTGTAGCCAGACTCATCAAATTCAACCACCAAAAAGGAAAAAGAAGAAGGCTGTCGTCAACTTCATATAATATACAGCATGTCTTTACAATCGCGACAATAAATGAACAAAAATGTATAGGATAACTTTTTAAAATTGTATTAAACATTTACATTCTTTAAACATCAATATTTAACGAGTTATTAAATTTTCCAAAACAAAGAATTTTAGAACATCCTTAAATATAAATTATTTAATATTATAATTATTATTTAATTATGGATTTTTTTAACGTTTATATTTTTTCACGATTATTGGCAATTAGCGTTAGATGTGTGTTCATTTATTGTTGCCATTGTATCGACACACTGTATACTAAATCAATCATCAATACCAAACAAAAAAAAACGTAAAATACACAGCTGTAGTTCTTACTAATTTTGTCAATTTAGAAAGTATTGCGTAATGCTTAATGTTGCGGAATTGTTGTCGTTATTTAGAGTGATAGTCATGCTATGTGGAGTGTATCATTGTACACATAACAAGGCTGACCAACGAAACTCAATTAATTTCGAGTTTATACTGTATAGACAACATGCTCGAATTGTGAATATTTATACCAATATACAAAATTCAATTTTTTAAACGAAAGGTTATCATCAAGGCCTAGGCTATTTGAATGCGACGTCGCCCTTTCAATCTAAAATTTATTACTTTCTGCTTTTCATTTGTTTCTCTATCGATAAAAAATATAGACATGTGAGTTAAAAAAGCACATGTGCCTAATGTGAACATTTTAATATATTTACTTAAATGTCATTGTCATGTCTGTTTTGGAAGTTAATTTGAATTAAAACTAATGCTCGTAGTTAAAAGATTGGTCAGGGAACAATTTAAACTCATAAGTCTTCTTCATCTTGTGCCCATCCCACACAAGGTGGGGGTTGGCACAACATGCGCCATCTTTCCGCTGTCCTCTATCAGCCATCGTTTCAAAAGTCACACTTTTAAAGATTTTTTTTCTTTACACAATCCATCCAATTCACCTTGTAGCTTTACACCCTCAAACCACATTCATATCATCACTCTTCTAGTCCATGACTTTCATCCCTTCTCATAAAGTACCCATATATAATTTATACTTATCAGTATAAATTCAAATATCTCCTTGCCAGAAATGAATGAAAAAATGAAATGTAGGCAATTTTTTGCTATGAAACATTTTTTTTTTCTTATGACATTCATATATTATTTCGTTTTTTTTTTCAGGGTAACAATATTATGCAATAAGTTCGATGGGCACCCCAAAGGCTTTGCCTATATAGAGTTTGGGGACAAAGATAGTGTACAAACTGCTATGGCTATGGATGAGTCTTTATTTAGAGGTCGTCAAATAAAGGTATTCAATTTTTCTTAATAAAAAAAGAAACTCATAATATGTATCAATTTTGTGATGCATAGAACATTTTCTTAGGCAGATGATTCATCAAAACATGCATATTAAATACATTTCTTTATTCACTTGATGGTAGAGAGTATAATTTCCCGCCCGATAACACTACACCCACAGTTAGTGCAATAACAAACATACTAGTTCGCCCTCGCCTCCGAGCACGGCGAGACCAACACAAACGCGTACACAAGTACACCGATTAGTTAATTCCACAGTCGACGGCCATCGGGGTTTCGGTTCGAACCGCGACCTCGATGGCCCTTAGATGACACACCATACTTAAACGCATGCATGAGCACATGCGCGGCCACACCCACGGTGGAGGGCCCAAACCCGTGGGTTCTGGCTAGCTCACCGGTTCTGCGTCAGATGAAGCTTTAATTCGCCCTCGCCTCCGAGTATTAATTTTATACTTATCAGTATAAATTCAAATATCTCCTTGCCAGAAATGAATGAAAAAAATGAAATGTAGGCAATTTTTTGCTATGAAACATTTTTTTTTTCTTATGACATTCATATATTATTTCGTTTTTTTTTTCAGGGTAACAATATTATGCAATAAGTTCGATGGGCACCCCAAAGGCTTTGCCTATATAGAGTTTGGGGACAAGATAGTGTACAAACTGCTATGGCTATGGATGAGTCTTTATTTAGAGGTCGTCAAATAAAGGTATTCAATTTTTCTTAATAAAAAAAGAAACTCATAATATGTATCAATTTTGTGATGCATGTAACATTTTCTTAGGCAGATGATTCATCAAAACATGCATATTAAATACATTTCTTTATTCACTTGATGGTAGAGAGTATAATTTCCCGCCCGATAACACTACACCCACAGTTAGTGCAATAACAAACATACTAGTTCGCCCTCGCCTCCGAGCACGGCGAGACCAACACAACGCGTACACAAGTACACCGATTAGTTAATTCCACAGTCGACGGCCATCGGGGTTTCGGTTCGAACCGCGACCTCGATGGCCCTTAGATGACACACCATACTTAAACGCATGCATGAGCACATGCGCGGCCACACCCACGGTGGAGGGCCCAAACCCGTGGGTTCTGGCTAGCTCACCGGTTCTGCGTCAGATGAAGCTTTAATAGTCTCAGGACTGAAAGCAAAAACATCAGTGATGCAAGATTACCGACCGAGCTATTATATCATTTTTTTCTCGGCGAAATTTACCGTCATATTCGAATGATATCTTTAATTCCCTGAAAACATAGGTTTCATTTTTAGAAAATATCCTTTTATCCCTAAGCTATATCGGTTTTTCGCCCCAAAATGTACGCACATACTATATTTCATGAAAATCGCTGGAGCCGTTTCCGAGATACCGATTATATATATACATATACAAGAATTGCTCGTTTAAAGGATAAAATTATAATAAAATAGTACAAGACATCCACTTACATCATTTATTTGAATCGACAAAACTATGGTTAAAAGTTAAAATTAAGTATTTCTTTTATATGAAGTGAAATCCTTTTTCTTGGGTTAATATTTTATAATTTTTTTTTAATTTTACTTTCTATATATGATATATCTACATTCTAATTTATAAATATGATGAAATCAGTTCTGTTTTTACACAATGTCACAACACAAGACTGCATTATTTTATTTTTAAAATTTTGATGTAAACAATACCTACATAGATGCAGTGCAGAGTAATGGTGGGATTGGTGGGCGATCGACTTACTATGATGTAAATGTGTGCGCGAGGCATGTATAAGCAGTGTGGCTTACTTAGTCTCATTTACCCTCACTGTCGATATACGTGGCTCGGAGTCTTGTTATTGTTCTAGTGATGTCATACTCTATACTCCCTAAATTAAGATAGCTGACCCTAAAATATGCTCTAAAAAAATAGTTGAAGAACTTTTAAATCGTGAATTAACTTTATTATTTACATTCAGGTTTTTTTTAAAAAAAACATAATGCACTTCCATAGACATGAAAAGAGGTATTGAGTCACTTTCTGATGCACCCTATGTGTTTACGTTTCAAAAACAAAAATTCGGATCGAATGAGTTGTATGGATCTAGCCATTGTTATTTCAACTTCCCAGGTGATGCCGAAGCGCACAAACAAACCAGGGCTGTCGACGACGAATCGGCCGCCGCGGACGATGCGTGGACGCGGCCGCTCGTTCCGCGGCGGCTTCTCGCCCTACTACTCGGGCTACCGGCCCATCCGACGCGGCAGGTACCAACCCTATTAAACTGAATGCCCGCGGCCTTATTCATGTCGGCACCGCTAATTAGGATATTATAGAATATTGTTAAAGGTAAAATTGTTTGCTTGTACCACAGTCAAGTGACAGCATGTACTCGTAATACCTAGTTAGAAAATATGTATATGCCCTCCACAGATATTATCCGAATTGAATTTTTTTTCTGTTAGTATTATAATGGATTGTTAGTAGCTAAAGCATTTAAGATTAAACTGAAGTACAATATAACATGGATAAGGCTGATTTTAGTCTTGGACTGCATTTGTCAATAAAAAAAAATATTTATACAAAGTTTTACAGTTTATTCAATAAAGTTTGCTATAATGATATATGTATTTTTAATTTATTTTATATATCCTTCCTTCCCCTTCACAACCAGGGGCGCATCATAGCCGTATTTATGAAAAGTTCATGTAAGTCCAAATTAAATGAAGAAATTGTAACTTTATCTCTTGTCTCTGATAATATTTATTGATTGACCTTCATAATTACGGTCTTGATTTGCATGCTGCTAGATACATGTAGTGTAGACTATATAGCGCTATTAATAACAGAACCCGTTGTTCGCAGAGGGTTCAGGCGCGGCATGTTTTACTCTCCGTACTGAGTGCGGTAGAGGGGGGGACTCCGCCCCCGGCCGCGTCACTCGATAACCTTGCGCAAGTGTGTGCGGTGTAATTAAGTTTAAGTGATTCGTGTGGCGGCATCTAACTTCAGTGTCACGCATCATCCAGGTTGCCAATGGATTCTGTCTCCGACAGTATTTGTATAGAATAAAATATAACCTGTTAAGCGGATATCGCCGCGCGGACTCGGACAGAGTGTAATTGAAACAGAAAATTGAACAATAATTCTATAATTGTATGATGACTGGATTCGATGAGCCAGTGTTAGCCTGTGCTGTCCTTGTTAATATTTGATGATTGAATAGAGAACTTAAGTGATGTCCTGAATATAGTTCTAAGCGTCGACTTGTTAATAAAACAAACATTTTGCATTGGTATAATTTTAATTTTTTCTTTAATCGCTTTCACGAGTTAGGATAAGGTTTGTGTGATAAGAATTTCATTTTCTACCAGCCTAAATAAGTCCCATGTTGTGCGTGAAGAATTGGTTGTAAAAAAATTGTTTTGTTAATATTTTAATACTAAATTAAATTTTTAAATAGTGCAAAAAGAAAGAGTCAGTATGGGTCCATTTAATTGATCGTAATGGAGCTTAGCATGAGCGATTAGTTTAGTACATTTGAAAGCTAAATTGGAAAGTAAAACCAACACATTGAACACTAGCCTAAAAAACAGATTTGTTCGCATCAAATTTACTTTATAGTAATATCAGTATTTTTAATACATGAGTAAGCAAATCATTTTATAAGGTATTTGATTTGATTTTTTTATTTAGGCCATAAGGTCTTTAAATGAAATATTTACGTATTCGTAATTTTCGTAACACGAATTATTGTCTAATATTATACAGCGTGTCGTTACCACCGCGACTATAAATGAACACACATATAGAGGATAACTTTTTAAAATTGTATTAAACATTTACATTCTTTAAACATCAATATTTACCGAGTTATTAAATTTTCCAAAACAAACTATTTTAGAACACCCTTACGTATAAAACTGTAACGTAAAGTTCATTTGTAAAGGTCACAAAGCATATGAATGGGTTGAATGAATTTAAAAGAGACAAACATACTGTTAGAAGGAGAGGCTTGTAATGTGACGTTGTGGCGCGAGTTGTATAGGATGTTACAAAATTTGTTTCTTTTTTACTTAATTAGTTTGTTTGAAAAATATTTTTTTTTAATTATGGATTTTGTTTAACGTTAATATTTTTTTATGATTATTGGCAAGTAGCTTTAGACGTGTGTTCATTTATTGTCGCGATGGTAACGACACGCTGTATTTGGCGTATATTCTCAAGACATGAAATAATTGAGGAAGTTGTTAAATCAAGGTGTTTTGTAATATCATTTAACTAATGCATAACAAATTGTACAACATAAAAGAAAAAGTTTATCTATAAAATGTGATGCAGTGTTCTGCTGGGGCTTCCATTTAGAAGAAACAAGCTGTAAATGTAAATTTTCAAGAAACTAAGAACAATTTTCTTGATAACAATTTCATTTGTACAATAATGTCTAATCTAAATTCTCTAGTGAAATAAAGACCATCAGCAAATCAATAAATGGGGGCCCTAGTTGTAGTAATTTAAAAATGTCTAAAATTAAAGTAGATTAATAGCCGTGTAAAAGAGTAATTCTGTTTCCATGAAACAGGGTTTCAATGTTAACTGTTGATTTGTATTTGTAATTATTTACAGTAAAATGTAATCTGCACTGATATTTCTTCTTTATTGTTTTTTTTTTAATCTTTTACGGCACTATCGAAACAAAAAACGACAAAATGAGGTTTTTAACATAGTGTGCTGGATAAAAAATAATTTTAAGAGGATCCCGTGTTTTATTTTTCACTCGCATAACATTTGTTACAGTTTTAAAAAATGTGTCTGGATAACTTGCATTTAATAATCGTATGTTTTGGGTTCACATGCCACACAACTATGGAAATAAAATTATAAGAACACAATTTTTACCAAGTCGTACATTGACTGCTTTGCAATTCAACCTTTTTTTCACAATACCTAAAAATTTGTGGAGAAAACTTATAAACACTAACTCAATCTCTCATTCTACTTTATTCTAAGCCAATATTAAATATTTATATAAATAATATACTACATTGAAAAAATATGTAACATATATAATTATTATTCAAAGACAGCCCTCGTAAGCCGAGTAAGTCAATTTACTCTTAGAAATCTTAAAAAAAACATGAAAACATATACCATTTTTAAAAATGTCAGTCAAGCAAATTTTGGCTCATAGATTTTATTTCTCTTGAATTCCAGTATAAATATTTGAAAACATAACAGAACTCTGGTATACATTGATATGTACCTCATTTGGTTAGATGTATTCTAACAGTGCTGGTATAATCTACACATTTGGTCACATCGACAGGTTCGTGTTAATGAACCTTTTTAATGAATTTGTACAAGGTTCATTCAATACGAGAATTCGATCGTGACATTAAATCGTTTGGCCGGTGCCCTTGGTGCCAAATGTTAATATTTTTAAGTGTAGTTTACTTTTATCCCCGTGGCCTTAGATTTAAGGTTCTTCTGAAGATATCTGGAGGCACTCATGGATTTTGTAGCTGGTAGCGTAGAACGTTGCATCGCTCTCCCCTTAACTCCCTCTCCTCGCGACTCCCTTTAACGAAAAGGTAATTCTATAATCGTAGAGGGTTTTGATGGGGCACAACACATAATGGAGTTCTAAATCATAAGACATACCTATGTCATCAATTATTTTAAGTGAATTCATTTATTTACGAAAACCACAAATATTCGTTTTAAGTTTAGTAAGTAATAATTTTCGTATCGAGCTATGTATCTTAGACAAGTTTGCTATTAAATAACAACCCACAAGCTGCCTGGCACACGGGGGTGTCGTGTTTAGGCTATGAGGATCACGTTCGCCAACAAATACGCTGTGCCTGATGTACGTTTAAAAGTAGATGTAATGTGTGAATCACGGTGGCGTAGTGTCCGTCATTGAAACGTTCGGGCCTGTATCACCACGTTTCTAAACCGTGTTAGCAGCGTTACCTCAGAGATTTAATACATAGTGATTACATTCTCTTTGGTTTTATAGACCGTGTTAGTAGGCAGTATGCAATGTATTACCGTTGCCTATTTGGTTCAATGTCAATTTTGACATTCAACGAAATAAACAAGCCGTTTGTCAATTTTTGAAACTTCCTTGCTTATTTATATTATTAAATATAAATTTTATTAAAATCTATAACGCTTTTAATAGCCAAAATGTCCCTTATTGAACCGGATTTCTTTAGTTTTTTAAAAAAGTTGGAAGAAGATGGTGATAAACTAACATCTGGCACCCCTTTAGAGGAATCGCTTGAGTTTGAATATAATGTAAGTCTCCTTCAGTGATAGTTTATGGCATTGAAGACGTGAAAAAATGTGAGTTTTATTGTCATAGTTTTAATCTTTTACAGAATTCAAGTTGCTATATTTGCAATGGTTACTACGGTCCTAGCTTTGGGGAACCAGTGTGTGTGACATGCCACGCATTTCTTTTCCCGGATTTTCCGTCGTATTTACCTAGCTCCTATTTCTGCAGTGAAAAAACAGATGACGGGGACTCTGGAAATGATGAGCCCTCTGACTTGAATTTTAGCGCAGAGCGCAGACTGAACAAATTATGTTCATTACCTTCTTGGTGTTATCGGGTAAGCCTATTTTCAATTAATTAAGTTTCAAGAAGCGTAAAGATTTACAGCAATTGTTTACAATCTTACGCAACGTTTTTTTGTTTTCCTTGATTTATAAAAATGTACGCATAATAAACCTAATCCATTATTTGTCGAGATAATGTTGAATCTGACAATCCTCGTTTATGACAGGCCTAGCAAACACACTATTAAACTTTTGCTATGTTATAAAGTTAAAATATAACTGTTAAGTCAATGAAAGTAATATGTCTGATATAATAGTCTGTAAAATTTTTCTACTACCAGAAAATATGAAAATATAATTACCTATGTAGAGCTATATTTCAATAGCTTTCTGTAATTACTCTTGCTGTCTTGATTAATGTTTTTTTATGTGAAAAGTTGTCAAGCGAGCAGACGGTTCGCCTGACGTTAAGTGATTACCGCGGGTCTTCTGTGAGGCCATGCTACTTCCCTGGACGAGCCTGCCCATTTGTGCAACAGCTGAAGCTACAGCGTGGCCCCACCACAGATAAAAATATTTTCACGAAAACATAATGTAGTTTGATTATGTTTTACTGTGTTATTCAGAATTCATTAGATAGTGAGACAAGTCCAGAAGATGAGATAAGTCGCACAAGTACTTCAGGACCAGGAGTGAGTGGAAGCATTAGTGGAGGCAGTGGATCTGGCCCATCATTGGCAGCTCGTGACACAGCTGAAGATTTAGCTGGGCAAGGGCCACCACCCCAGCCACCTAGCCTAGCTCGATCCTTGCAAGCACTGTCTACACCGAGACCTCCTGATAATTTGGCCCCAGGATTAGTTGAACACTTGCCCTCTGAAGGTTAGTTTGTAAATTTAAAAGGATTCGTTATTTTCACCAGATTTTAAATGTTGTTGAAAATACTATTGTTATTAAATGACTTTTTATTTAGCTGAAATGGTTAATTATTTATCTTTTAAAAGATATTTGTTATTTGAATTGGTTTTGAATTAAAGTGGGAATACAGATTGTGTATTGTTTGTTGTGTTATTTTGGCTGTTTGAAAAATCTTGCAATATTAGCTACAATTATAAGCTGTTTCGATTAGTTACTTTTGTCCCCAGTTCTGCTATGCATCTTCAGCTACCTGGACGACCTCTCGCTCTGCGCGTGCGCGTGTGTGTGCGCACGCTGGTGGCGGTTGGTACGTGCTCGCGTCCCACCGCCACGCTGGGCGGCGTTCGCAGCGCGCCGATGGCCGCTCTTCAGGCCGCTGCTACCGCACTTCGACTGGCACAAGGTTACCATCCACTTTCAGTTAATATTCTTTTTTAGGGTTTAAGGTATAAAAAAGGAAAAAATGGAATTTATAAGATCATTCTCTGGTCTGTCTGTCTGTCTGTCCGTCCTTGTTACACCACCGATTTTCACAGGAACAGGTGGACCTAGAAAGTTTTGAAATTTATACCAGATACTAAGGTCTATAGTCCCTACTAGGTGTATGAAATCAAGGTCCTGAGTCAAAATGTTAAAAAGATATGGGCAAATTTAGATTTTCACGAAAACTACGAAAAGTACCAAAATGTAACTTCATTTTCAATTTTTTTTGTTTTTCGACATTTTCCCATTTTCTTGTGCTGCAAGACCATGCTTTAGTTTAAATATCAGTTTAAGTAAAATTGACAGTTCTAGGTCAAGCGGAAGTACCCTATAGGTGTGGGGTCGAAATCCTATATGGTAGTCTCCGTTGTCCTAGAATCACGAAATTTGGCAAAAAGCAAGGTTTAAACATACTTACAGCATAAATAAACGGAAAATGCCGAAAAATAAAAAAAGAAGCTAAATTTGGTTAATCACTCTATTTTCTGTCACCGCAGAAGTACCAGGCGCTGGTGGAGTCGTGCTTCTGCCGGAACTGTCTGGTGCAAATGTGCGTACAGGCGCAACCGGTCGGTGACGAGAACGCCTGGCGTAGGAACAGGCTGCGCAGCGAATTAAAGGTATTCCAAATATTAAGTGTCGGCTGTATGGCAAAAGCCTGTCTATAATTATAGAGGTATTTGTTCGGTATTCAAGTATTCTCACCATTGAACATTAGGTAAATTAGTACTCAACTATCATTGTACCAGATTATAACTCTGTTTGCTCCAATTGTGGATTCGATATTGATTTTAATTTAATAAAAAAATAAATATTTATTTTTTGTAATATTTATTGTTCCAAGGGGACTATAATATTTTGTATACATATTTCATTGTCAAATAATAGTAGTAGTATTTTGACAATCAATAAGTGAATTCAATACATCTATATTGAAATAAGATGTTTTAATTTGAAACTAATGCACAGATTGAGACACAAAAACACAGAAGTTGGTTGTGTTGGCCTGTACTTGGCGTGTTTGCCAGTTCTACAAATGTTTTCCATGCACTCTGCATGGAAAACATGCAGAGTGCTTCCAAAGACCGAGGCAGGCTCATGGCGAGCATTTGCCAAAACTTTGTGCCAACCTTCGATGGCAGTTACACGAGCATTCATGTTGCAGATGATGCGGAACGACCCGCCGGAAGGGATTGCTGCCAGCCCCTTAGACTCCAAGTGCTGCCACTGGCAGGCTAGCGTGACTGGCCCCGTCGGGTCCCCATACGAAGGCGGCGTCTTCTATCTTTACATACAAGTCCCCTACTCGTGCGTACCTCATATGTTTCGCAGCAATATCTATCACACATTTTATACAAAAAATATTATTAAGCATTAACATATCAGACAACAACCGATTCATAATCTAAATAATTCCCTAAGTGGCGTGCACAAAGTTTCATGGTGCTTAAGTTGTTGTGGTCTAAGCACTCATTGAAATCTGCGATGGAAGGTCTGAGTTTGTATTTCAGTTCTTCGGCCAGGTAACCCATTAGCACCTGATTCATCATCAAAATAATTCTGTAGTGGTAGTAGTAGCAAGTAGCCTGAACGAAATTTCATGGTTTTTAATCTCTGATTGTGATCTAAGAATTCTTTGAACTGTAAGGACTAAATTTGTATCTGTATCCAGCTATCCCATGAGCCCGCCAGTGGTGCGTTTCCTGACGCGGATCCTGCACCCGAATGTATCACGCCACGGCGACGTGGGCATTGACTCCGTTCACCATAACTGGTCATTGGCGCTCACCATCAGCAAAGTGCTCATCTCCATTCAGAGTCTGCTCACAGACCCATACACCACGGTAGGTATACTACTAACGGGGGACGGTTCATTCTCAATCATTGTGAATTTCAGTGGTGAATTTAAGCTTAAGACCACATGGCCCTGTGTGGAAAATTTATAAGGGTTCCAAAAATTGTAAGATGGCAATAGTTTTAAATCAATTTTGTTTCCTATCAACTTTTTAGCATCTTCTCCTGCCTCTACAATCTTAAAATGCCAATATTCTTCCCCAAGAATTATTTTAATAAAGTACTGGGCGAATACTGCTAGCGAACTCTAGCTGTCATAGGGCAACGCAACAGTTTTCACTGATGCATGAGTAGGCAGATCCGTCCAGGAAAGTACCATGAGCTCACAGAAGACCACCGTGTTGTGGATTTGTTACATTTTTGCTTCGTCTGGTGAGTGAGGTAACTGGCCCACTTTATTAGAAGGTGGTAACGCATCTCCAAGCCCTCAGGTGTTGCAAATTACTCACCAGGTAATTTGTTTCAGCACTATGCTCTTTGAAATATATCATTGCTATAGCAAGATTTTAAGACACAGTTTCTCTGCACAGGTGTGTATGGAGCCGGAGATGGGCGAGATGTACGTACGCGACCGACCACGCTTCGAGGAGTTGGCGCGCCGTTGGACGTGGCGCTACGCCATGCACGACATACTGCCATACTAGAATGTACCGAGTATGGTATATTCTAATATGGCAGTACGTAGTAACGTAGCGATAAAGCACTAATTTGGTCACGCAATATGCAGTATGTAGATCGGCCACGCACGCACCGCTATCGTATAGGTGACGAGATAATTGAACGCCCGCAACTTTGTGCAGTTAATTGGTAGCGATGGGGTTACGTTCGGCGGGAGGGAAAAAAGATTATTGCCCTCTCGCTCGCGCGTTAGTCAAATTCATTTTCCCTCTTGCTCCCGCAACATGTAGCAAGTTCTTATTTAATTGTATGAACGTACAAGTAGATAACTAGATTTCTTCAGAACTTGCCGACTCAGTTTCATTCCAGTGTTAAAATGTTCGAAGAAACTTGTTTCACCTTTCAATTTCATTTCAAGGTTGTGACAGAGCATTTACGATCATACTTTGAAAGCAATAATTTAGTGATAAAATAAAAACCAATTATGGAGATTTTTAAATAGCACGATTAAAATTTGTTATATTATGTGTTCCATAGCATTATCTATAAAATGGCAAAAAAAACACATGTCTGTAGTATTGGGAACCCCTTAAATATTTTTTATTTTATTCTGTTTTTCATAATTATTTGTTTTCAAAAGAAATACAACATCTGTTAAAAATTCAATTTTATAACTAACGGTTCATAGGAAACAGCCTGGTGACTGACGGACAGACAGCAGAGTCTTAGTAATAGGGTCCCGTTTTACCTTTTGGGCAAAACTGGACATAAGAAGCGTTTGTTAAACAAAAAATACCGGTCGAATTCGTACGCGCCGAGGGTTCCGTGCCTTTCCATTATACCGCCATTATAAAATTGGTAAATAACCACCACCGATTTTCTCAGTAATGGACCTAGCAAGTCGAAATTTATAGCAGATACTGAGGTAGTCCCAATTAGGTCTATAAAAATTATGGTCCTGAGTCCATAAAAAGATATGGGCCAATTTATTTATTTATTTATTCTTTATTGAAAACATCTCAAAAAGGGGTTACAAAGGGTGGATTAGGTTATAAAGGGCCTAATGCTTATTGGCATTCTCTACAAGTCAACCCCGGGCATAAGGACAGGCATAAGTAGTCCCCTAAAATTTATATTTGGTTAATGGTAATATTTTGAAGGATCTTAGTTTTATAAAATCTGTAAACTCTCAAATAGATACTAAATTCCAATGTATCCAAATAACATTGCTCCTTGATATACTTGTATTTAAAAATAACTTTTTAAACTTGTTGTAAGTGTTGCTACATCAGGTGTATAAAAATATTTTTTACAGCTAATGAACATGATGGTTATATTTTCAAGCCATGAATAATGTGAAATGTAGTTATATTTTATTCATGCAAACACTAGCTTTACGTGAGATGATTTGTAAAATAAAACTTATTTATTATATTAATGTTAATTGTCAAATAAAAATTTTAGAAACATAAAAAAATTATGACTAACGAGAATCCACAAATATTTTATGTTAAATTGCATGTGGCAAATATAAAAAAAATGACATTACATTTTGCTGTATTTTTTTGTAATTAAGAAAATAAAACACAATATAGTTGAAGAAACTTCTCATTTATAGATGCAGTGTTGAAAATGTATTATATTTTATCTTATAACATGGAAACAATTTTAGAAAGTAGAAGAGGCTGTGCTTGTGAAAACTATTTGTATATCATTATTTTATATTTTTGTCCTTATTCTTAATAATAAAAATTGAATATTCTCATACAATTGTTTTATTTTCTTTATTTAACAATATTTAACTTTCTAATGAATTTTACCTTTTAGTTTTATTTGAGTGTTGTTAATTTTGTTCCAAATTTCCAATAGTTTCTGGCAATTACAAAGCATTGGTAGGCAAACGCCGCTCCCTGGAGCCCTACAATATCCAGGGAAAGGCGCTTCGCCCTTTGGCAGCCATCTTCGTGATTCAAACAGCTGACGACTAAATGCAGCTACATCGATTGCATCCCAGAGCTCTTTTAATCCTACTTCGTAAACGTTTGTTTGTATTTTCAAACTTCCTGGCACGAAATAATTCACATAAATTACCGCGAAGTATGCCTGAAAATAGTTGTCGCATTAATTAAGTCATATTTATAGTTAGTTCGATATTATAATACAAGGCTACCTCTAGATTATGAAAGGTTATGTACATTTTAGATTTACAATTAACAAAATTACGCAGGTGCAAAGAATTTATTGACGATAAGTCATAAAGTCTGGCGCAATTTTACGGTTATTTTACAATTTACATTGTATTTGAACGGAGAACTATACATACTTTTTTAATTATTTTGAGGCCAAACAAGCTATAATTTTATCTACTTAACCTTTTACTGCATGCATTATGAATAAAATGATGAAAAGATATTTGATGGTAGTTTTTGCTTTTTTAAGTATAAAATTAATTACAATCACGAAATTTAAAAAAAAACTCATAAAACCTTAAAAAAAATGTAGATCATATGCGAAATTACTTTGGACATATATGAAGTAAAAAAGTATTAGAAATTTTAGTTTTAATAAGAATATAAATTAACATAAGGACCCTCTCTGAGGCTGAAACATACCGATACCTGGGTATGTCACAAAACATGTGTATCGATGAGGCTGGCATTAAAATTTCATTCAAAGGTCATTATATATAGCATGGACAAAGGTCATTATATATATTATAGCAACAGCTATTTGTCAGGCGTGAACAAGGCGCGCGCATTTAACGGCTGGGTCATGCCAGTCCTCATGTATACCTTTGGCATACTCAGGTGGACTCAAACTGAGCTCAACGCCCTGGACCGATAAGTCCGCACAACTATGACGTCCCATAGAATGCATCATCCGAGATCGTCAGTGATGAGGTTGTACCTGCCGCGGAAGCATGGTGGGAGGGGCTTTTTAAGTGCCCTCACCATGCACAATCGCGAGGTGTGCAGCCTCCGCAACTACTTCCTGGCGAGGTCGGATGAGTCAATCTACACGGACGTCATTAGTTGTGATAAAGGACTTACCCCTCTATCCTTAGCCAACGAGCAATGGCAGGACTGAGCGTTTCCGACCGGGAGGCCGTATGGAAGGAGAAAGAGCTCCACGGGAGGTTCTACAAGGCTCTAACAGTGTCTACGAAAGGCTAATTACCTTTCGTAGACACTGTTGCCTCCCTTAACTGGCTACGCTTCGGTGACCTGTTTGGGGAAACCGAAGGTTTTGTCTGTGCGATACAGGATCAGGTTATTAAGACGAACAACTATCGGAGATACATCCTAAGGCATGGCACCGTCGACATCTGTCGAGCTTGTCGCCATCCCGGGGAGTCGCTTCGGCATGTTATCTCCGGTTGTTCCATGCTTTCTAACTCTGAGTATCTGCATAGACACAACCTAGTAGCCAGAATCCTACACCAGGAGCTCGCTCTGAAATACGGTCTCGCAGATCGGAAATTGCCGTACTACAAGTACTCTCCGGAGGCCGTGCTCGAAAATGACCGCGCCAGGCTCTATTGGGACCGGCCCATCATCACGGACAGGACGATTGTCGCGAACAAACCTGATATCGTGTTGATGGACCGGGCACAGTCGCGGGTATTTTTGGTCGACATTACCATTCCATATGACGAGAACCTCGTGAAAGCCGAAACAGATAAGAAAACGAAGTATGTGGACCTGGCTCACGAGGTGACCGACATGTGGGGTGGTGTGCCGACCGAAATTATCCCAATAGTCGTATCTGCGAATGGGTTGATCCCAGTCAGCCTCTCCGGACACCTGAGGCGACTGGGACTCCGGGACGGAACGCTCCAAGCTCTAATGCAGAAAGCGGTGCTCCTCGATACCGCCCGCATCGTCCGCCGGTTTCACTCCCTTTCACCCTAACCCTCGGCCGTTTGGTCTCCCCTGCCGAGGGCTTCCGTCTGGTTGGGTCCTATTTATATATGTATTATATACAATATTTATATGTATATGTTTATTTTTATTCATAATATTTATTTTATATATGTAATATATATCTATATGTTTATTTTTTATCTATAAACCCAACCAGACGAGAAAACAAAGGAATATCCCCAAATATAAATTACCACTGTAATTTTAATCATGAAATGCCGACAAATAGTTTCGTTTGTCGTTGTAACATAAGAGAACCATACATTTGCAGATGGTGTAAGTTTTTTGGTCGCAAAGAAGACATTTTTGGCATTCAGGCAAATCATCAAAAATATTTTATGATTTGCATGTCTTTTTAATTTTTTTCCGCGTGGCTAGTAGAGGGTCAGTTTTGTTATCAGTGGAAGGTTAATTTTGTTATCATTGGAATAACTATCTGTTTCGAGTATAACAAGAGATCTTCTTTGAGTGACGTTGAAATTCTTTAGATGGAACACATTTTCTATCAGAATCGGAAGCTAAATTCATCACCACTTTGTAAGTCATCACCAGATATAGGATTAACATACTCATTAGAGCCATAAAAGCGAGCAGGATCCGTTCTGCAACCAAGGAAAATTAATTTCATGCTTATAACAAAATATTAAAGTGCACTGCATATGAAACCATATTTGGTTCCGCAGTAAAACGGTTAGTTAAGGCATGCGAAACCATATATGGTTTAACGCAAAAAACCACCAAATATGATAGAAATAAGCAAAAAGTATTAAACAAATGAAACATACTTATAAGAATAACATTATATTTTAATTTTTTTACCAAAAAATCTTGCCTTTTTTACGTAGAAAAACGTTTTTGAAAAACGAATTTACAGCCACTGTGTCGAACTTCACATTAAATTAATGTATTGACAATAGCCAACAAAAATGTTTTGTATTGCCAACATATTAAATACAATGTAAACAATGCGATTAGTTATTGTTCATGCAGCATTACATGAAAAAAAATAATTCTGAATCCGGTGAACCATATATGGATCGCTATGCGGTAAAGGGTTAAATAATGTATGAAAAAGACTTAGTATGACTTCACCCATTGTCCATTGTTCATAATTTCTTTTTAAAAATGTTTCAATAATATTGGATGTAAAAAAATAAATAAAAATTAGAATCTATCGTAATTTATTATTCTTATTAAACACAACGGAAAATGTACAGTAATGAATAATTTTAGAAACATTTCTAGAATTCTCTTCCACTGTTAACTGCATTGTTCGCCGATTTAATTTATGGTGAATTAGATATATCCATATTGTCAGGCGAATTCTTATCGTCTGTAATTTCGTTAAGTTTAGTCTCCATCGCCGAAGTTTCCTTCTGTTCAGTTAACGTGGGCAAAGGTGTTTGGTCTCTGGACTTTCTCTCGTGAGGCGTTTTAGAATCTCTGTGGGATCGACTCTTGGAGCGGCGGCTTCGAGAGCGGGAACGTTTTCTGTCTCTGGAGCGGGAGCGCTTTCGGTCCCTCGACCTGGAACGTTTCCTATCTCTAGACCTTGATTTCTTCCGGTCTCTGGACCTAGATCGTTTGCGATCACGCGATCTGGACTTCTTCCTGTCCCTTGAGCGCGAGCGTTTTCTCTCTTTCGATCGCGAGCGTTTTCTATCCTTCGAGCGGGAGCGTTTTCTCTCCTTTGAGCGCGACCTTCTTCTCGACTTTGAACGCTTCCTTCTAGACCGCGATCGAGACCTACGTTTGGATCGTGAACGGTCGCGTTTCCTATCTCGTGATCTGGAACGATCTCGTCTTTTGGTTGGAGATTTGTCTTTATCTCTATCCTTCTTATCGTCTCTATCCCTTTTATCCCGATCTCTATCTTTTTCTTTATCTCTGTTCTTATCTTTATCTTTGTCTTTATCCCTTTCCTTCTCTCTATCTTTATCCTTTTCCTTCTCTCTATCTTTATCCTTTTCCTTCTCCTTCTCCCTGTCTTTATCCTTTTCCTTCTCCCTGTCTTTGTCCTTATCGTTCTCCTTATCTTTCTCCTTTTCCTTCTCTTTTTCTTTCTCCTTATCGTTCTCTTTTTCCTTATCGTCAGTTGGCGAGGACGCTTTAGATATCGTTTCTGAACTGGTGCCGTTTGTATCGGGCGCGGAATCCGATTTAGATTCGTCCTTCTCCTTTACAACTTCCTTGTCGACGTCTTTCGCGGGCGACATGGATTTCTCCTTTTTTTCTTTGTCTTTGTCCCTCTCGCTTGAGCTCTTCTTGTCTTTGCGATCACGGTCGCGCGAACGGTCCCGTTTCGAGCGCGAGCTACGGTGTCGAGATTTAGAACGGGACCGTCTCGAGCTGCGATGACGAGAACGCGATCTGGGGAAAGTCATATAATTAATATTCTTCATTGATTGTTTCAGACTGTAGTATAGCCACGCAGCAGCCTCGGCTGTTGGACGAATGGGCAGACTCGTCCGGGTAAGTACCACGACCTCACAGCAGACCGGCGTCAAGTGGAAGTATAATAATTTCGCGTTTCGTCTGGTGAGTGAGCCCAATATTCAAACGGTTGTAAACGCATCTGCAACCCTCGGGTGTAGCTGATGTCCATGGGCGGCGGTATTCACTTAACATCAGGTGAACCACCTGCTCGCTTGGCAACATTTCACATAAAAAGCTACGCACGATTGTACGATCGGCGGCCTTGCCGGGGGAAGTATTGAAGCCTCATGGAAGACCAGCGTAAAGTTGAAGAACATTTACTTTTGGGTTTTCTTTGGTGCAAGGCATCCCGGATAAACCTTTAAAAGTTGCCAATGCATTCATTACTTCACAGGTGATATAAATGTCTATGGGAAGTCTAGATATTTACATCGCGTGTAGTGGCCCTTGTCTTATCATCGAGTGCACATTCGTTTTCCACTTTTTCAAAGTTGAAAAACCTGTGTTTCGTGATGTGTACAATCGATTTTGGCATGACTATGCTATGCACATAATGAGACTTACTTGCATTTAGCAAATAGTTGAAACTATTGATCTAAAGGAGGAACAAGATTGTATAATGCTTTTCAAATAAGAATAGGAATATCTTGAATGACTGCGCTGGCTCTTATCCAGACGGTTGTGTCCATTTGTGTAACAGCAAAGACTGTTGCGTGGCCCTAATTTGTAAAAACATGGTAATAAAATGCCTTTTTTCTACATATTACATATTCCTACCTACATAAATTCATGTTCTATTATTATTTAGGAAAACAGAAGTGATGTTGATGATGATATTACTCAGATAGAGAAGCAGATATGAATGGAAATGTTATTAAACTTTTTGTCATACTTTAATACATAATTTATTTGTGATGTGATATTAATATCTAAAATATCTGTTTTGTATATTTCAATTGCAAATTTAGTTTTATGGCTCCATCAATACATATAATACTAATTATAATCTGTTTCTGTACTGCAAATGCTGATGCTGATCAAATGATTCTGTTTTGCATATCCCACTTGATTGGTATGAATGGACAGCTATGGCGTCACAAGATGGCCCGAGGTCAGTTCTATTCTTATTTGAATTTTGTAACACAAATGAATTATTGTATCACATAAAAAGGCTTTCTAACGGGAAGCCGAAAATGTTTTTTTTTTTCTGGCACGCTAAGTTCGCTCAGACGGGCGCTGGGTGACACCGCAAAGGGCTTTACCTCGTCCGATGCCTGTGACGGGACTTGGAGCGGCGCGACCTGTGGCGGGATTTGGACCTCGAGCGCTTGCCCCGGTGCCGGGAGCGCGAGCGGCGCCGCGACCGGGAGCGCGAACGACGTCGGGATCGCGACCGGGAACGGGTCCTGGAAATTTTATACCTGAGAAATATCTAGGGACCGTGCACATGTACAAGTTGCTGGCTCTGTGTACATAATACATAAAGCAAATACAATAATACTAAGTTTAGAGTCACTTTCATTACCATTTTTTGACTACGTCGATTGATCTTATCAATCGATTGTCAATAGATTCTATTTTTATGCCGCTCACTTAAGGTTAATATTTATTGACATACAAATCATTTGTCTCCCTCTAATTATCTAGTGGTTTATCTTTGCCCAATTTCCCTCATGTGGAAATAGGATGGGACATAAACTTAAAAACATTTACCAATACCGCCACAAACTCAGAAAGTGAAATACAATATAAACATGATTAATGCAGTACTTAATTGTACCAATACTCGAGAGATTGAAACAGATAATGCTGTCTAACTAATGCTCTAATGTAGATACTTTTATTGTTCACCACAATAGTATCAATAGAAAAAAAATTATGGAATGTACAATTTTGCATCCCTATTGCTTCATAACGATCACTTTTAGGCAACCTACATAAGCGGTGCTGTAATGTGATTAAAGCAGATACAATAATACATTCATACATACACACACACATATATGTGTGTGTGTGTATATTAGACATCTAACAATATAATCAGAAATTGTAAATACAATATAAATATGAATAATGCAGCACTTAATCTTAATGATACTTGAGTGATTGAGACAGATAAGGATTTCTAACCAATTTCTTAAAGGTGTCAATATATGGCAGCTCACGAATAAGAAAGGGAATTCAAGAGTTTAACACCCTGTATGATAAAAGATTTTTTCCAAAAATTATATTTTGTGTTTGGCACCTTTAAAATGAACATCCACAAAGAATGTAAATCTTCCCCTGGAAGCCATACAAATCTATTTTACCAAAGAATCAAATTTCATTATGGGGAGTGCATTTGTTTTGTAATTTGTTTTAATAGAGAACATAACTTTCCCAGATATTTCTTAGAGAGATTAGAATGCTCAACAGAGCAATTAAACATGAAAACTGTTTAAACGTCATCAACATCACCTAGAGACCGTCCACTGTGGATAACTCATAACAAGAACAAAGAACTCCCCCTTATTACACCCAAACACCTTATGTATTTAGTGTAAATGAAATGCTAGGGCAACCAATCATATGATTCAGAATTAATAATGTGGTTGCCACAGATATCAATCAATAGGACATATCACACACTCAGTGGTGAAGGAAAACATAGTCAGGAAACCTGCATATTTTCGAAATAATAACAAAAAATATTTATTTTTAAGATATTTAAAGTCTGCCAATTCACAATGAGGCCACATGGTGGACTATGCCCTAATAACCTCTGAGTAAAGACGGGCTTTGCCCAGCAGTGGGATGTTTTTATACTTTACTTTTTTAGATATACTTAAAACATATACAAAAATATTAACATATTTAAAATTAAAAAATGTTATACCTTCTCTTATCTTTCGACAATAGTCCAATTACAGGGTCAATTGCTGCAGAAATATAGTTCTGAGCTTCTTTAACTCTACACATGGCTTCTTCAATTTCTCTTTGGGCGGCCTCATTACTCTTTGTTTGTGGCTTGGATATAGCTTGTGTAGCATGGTGTACCTGTACAACATGTTTGATATTTAAGAACCTGTTTTCAAATCTTCATATTTGTAAAGAAACTATATTTCTTTAAGGGTTATTGACATATATATATATATATATATATATATATATATATATTATAATATACATAATGTATATGTTTATATACAGCGTGTCTTTGCAATGGCGACAATAAATGAACACACATTTAATTATGGATTTTGTTTAAGGTTAATATTTTTTATGATTATTGGCAAGTAGCGTTAGACGTGTGTTCATTTATTGTCGCGATGGTAACGACAGGCTGTATATGTATAATTTGTCTAGGTGTTTATAAAACAAAAGTATTTTTATCAGTTATCTAGTACCCATAGAACAAGAGTTTAGTTAGTAGAGACTGTTGTGTAAAAATGTGTCCTAAAAATAAAACATTTATTTTATTTTTATTATATTCGAAAATGATTATTTTTTTAAATTGAGTCACGGATCTGACATATAGCACCCTAGAGGGAAGATAAAAAGGTGGAGTTTCAGTTTTGTATTGGCGCTTAATATTCAAGACATTACATTGCCACTCCAAGCCACTTGTTTTAAAATAGAATAGATAGTAGAAAATTTTTAAATAGGTACTACCTACTAGTAATTGTAAATAATACATATTACATATTCATGTAGTAGAAACCTTTTTTTTTTGACATATCTGTGTATTTATGTCTTCTAACAAAGTGAAAATGTAAGTTTTAAACTTAAAGTTTTAGCCTATAATGAATATTGGATACAAAGTAATGGCAGATTTCAATTGTATGAAATTTAAAAACTTTGTTAATTTTTTCTCATAATCTATTGGTTTTCATGGATTTTAAGTTATATATCATATCATTATTAGCATTAATTTTCTATTGATTAAAATTTTTTTTGAGCTTGAAAAGTGAGACATAATTTTGTAAATTTTTACCCTCTTGTTTTTAAAATACCTTTTTTTTGTACTTTTCATAACTTAATTTGAAAATGTATGTACAAGGGTGAAGTAAATCAACAAACCTTTATTGTTTGCCCGTCAATTGTGGTTCCATTCAATTGTAAAGCCTTAATGACACTTTCTTGCTCTGACATTTCAATAAGAGCATATTTTAATTTGTCAACATCCCTTTCACAGAAGCGAAGATAATTTACTTCTCCAGCCTGTCCAAAATGATCAATCAATTGCTGTTGGGTCAATGAACCAACATCTACAACAAGTACTGTTCTTCTTATTTCTTCTATTTTCCTGTTGTCATAAGCTGCAGGAAGTGGTGGATATCCAGGTAAACCTGCTTCGGACATTTTGGGATCAAAAGTTTGTATAACTTGATTAGGTGGAACGCCTTCCAATGAGTTTACCACATGAGACGGTAAACGGGGCTCTACTGTACTTAATCCAGGAACCAATGTTCCGTTGCTAGACATCTCTAGAGCTTTATGTTCGTCGGGAATTTCACCGGACTGCATTGGAATCACGATTAAAGCGCGGTCAATGAACACTGTGTTAGTCATATGTTGGGCAACGTTCACAGTTGCAGACTCGTAGTACTTAACGTAACATATTCGGGATTGAACTGGACACGAGACATCTCTGATGGTCGGATATAACCTGATATCGTCAATCTTACCCAAGTAACCAAAAAGAGTTTGCATTTGATCTTTCGTAGCCTGGGGCGCGATATTGGTGACTTGTATCACCCTCGTCGACCCAGAAACCATTTTTGATGATTTACACATAGGGACGGTACTATCTGTAACTACGCCGTACAAACGGTTGACACTTTGTCATAGCACTGCGAATCTACGTATGGTTTATCAATTTATCATTAGACATAAACAGGAAAAACATTTCAGATATTTAAAAGTACTCTGCATTCTTGAAAAAGCACGCTTCTGAGAAGTATCAATAGACACAGCAGAGGAGCTATACAGATAATAAACAATTTAATACACCACCACAGAATACTTTTACTCAGTATACATGTCTTTCACTTTTCAGTATACATGTCTTATCTATGCTTTTACTCAAAGACGGCTCCATACAAATTTTAGGAGACATTTTTTCTTACCGACCGGCGCCATCTGTGTTCTGCCCAAAAGAACTAGCAAATGCTAGGGCGGGAATTTCAAACTAGTAATTTTAAAGGTACTTGGTGATGCATTTTATACACAAGTACAATGCGTTTGTAACATACTTGTGCATTAATTGCTATATTTATTAAGAGACTTTACTTTAGAGAGCAGTCTAATTAAACAAAAAAAAAGCGTTTGAATTGGTACTTCACTTTTTTTATTTAGCATGATAATAAATACAATATATGAGATATTCATTTATGCAACATATATTATATGAGATATTCATTTATGCAACATATATTATATCAGACATACATTTACATGAATTCATACATGAGTTGTATTCATTTCCAGAAATTTGGTACAAAAATCACAAGTAAGTGGGTGTAATGATAATGAATCTCAAACATCAGCAAATTTTAAACACGAATAAAAATAATATTTTTAAAATACAATATAAATGCCGCTTGGATTAGATTTATTAGATAATATATATTTTTAGATAGATTTAATCTTGTAAATATTAGATCAATAAAGAATATAAATAACATTATGCAGAAAATTTGAAAGTACAGAAAGTTATTCAGTTTAAGTATTTCAGACATCTTCACTCAAAATAAAAAATACAGTTTACCTTTCATAGTGTAAGCTTGTAGTCAAAAAGCTTGTCCTGTAATCACTCGGCGCTCGCACGGCAACATAGATATATAAGAATAATCTACTATTGAATGTAATTGACAATAAAGTATTTTAATTAATACAATGTTAAGTTCTTCATTGAGCGCCTAGTCATTACAGATCTCACAGCTATTTGTAGTAGAAGCAATACATTGCGAAACTTTACATTTTTTATATATATATTTCTTGTTTTTGATGGCATTTATTTATGCATAATTCATTTTTCTTTGTAGTGCAGATTTACACGGGTCTTCAGAATACATTCTGATTTTTAATATACCGTATATCTTAATGCTAATATGGAAGACACTGTTTATTATGTAACTTAATATATTTAAATCTTTGTGCAAAATGCAATATTCAAGGAAGTCATAATTTATAGAGCTCTTTAACATCTTTCTATAAAAATACAGCGTGTCGTTATCATCGCGACAATAAATGAACACACATATAGGGGATAACTTTTTAAAGTTGTATTAAACATTTAAATTCTTTAAACATCAATATTTACAGAGTTATTAAATTTTCCAAAACAAAGAATTTTAGAACACCCTCACCTATAAAAGCGTAACGTAAAGGTTTTTGTCATTTGTAAAGGTCACAAAGCATATGAATGGGTTTAATGAATTTAAAAGAGACAAAACATACTGTTAGAAGGAGAGGCTTGTAATACGACGCTGTGGCGCGAGTTGAATAGGATGTTACAAATTTTGTTTCTTTTTTACTTAATTAGTTTGTTTGAAAAATATTTTTTTTTATCAAATCAAATACATTGACAATAGTTGTGGTGTGTTATTCTTAATTCCAAGTCGTTTAAAACTAATAGCATTGAAAGTACAGAAGTAGCTACATACCGCAGAGCATTGTTTGAGCCAGGCTTTGGGAACCGAAATAAAGTGACGCTGGTATCTTTAGATGGCGAAGATCCACACATGCAACATATTTTAGAGTTCTCTTTCTGCTAAGTCAATAATCATCGCGAAATTAACCATACACCGAGTCTATGTCTCACAGCCGCGGAGGAGGAGGCTCAACTCAACGCTACTAATGTATGTAAAATCAAATGGAACTAGTTTAATTATTGCAAATAAACATTGGTACAAACAAGTTAAAATGGTGCGCTCGCGGCGGACATTTTCTTATTCTTATTCTTTATTGTACACAAAAAAAAATACAGTTACAAATAAAGGATTACAAAAAAGACTGTACAAAGGCGAGCTTAACCCTAAACAGAGTTCTCTGCCAGCAAACCTTTCGTAATAATTAAAAATAAATAAGTAATCAAAGGAAAATAGGTAGGTGTTTTTCCTACCTTGTGACGTCATGACGTCATAATAATATATATTGTTGCCAATGCCAATCAATATCCCCAAATATTTTTTTTATTATGTAATTATCAGTTAAATATGCTATATTTATTAATAAAATATTTTTGTCTTCGAAACGCGAACAATAGCAAAAGATATCTTTGAGGGTATTTTACATTAAAAATCAATTTTTAACTCATTATTAGGGAGAATACGAAGTTATATTTTTGGTGGCAACATCATATAAATGTCTAAATTCATCTCTTTTACTTTGATATCGTTGTCTCTATCATTTTTTCTGGCCCTCATACATTCTGTTCATAGAACAAAGTTGACAGGCCCTGTACACCACTCACCACTGATGACCACTGTCTAGCACAGATTAATAAATGTTTCATTGTTATTGGGGATATTTATTTGTTTTCTCGTCTGGATAAAAATAAACATTATTAAAAAAAGAAATAGCCATTATTATTATTATTTTACATCGTTATAGATTATGCAAAAGTATGAACAACAATTACATAAAAAAGTGTGTATTCGTAAGAATTATTGGTAAATTAGTTGTTATTTGTTGACAAGATTAATTTATATATATATATATATATATATATATATATATATATATATATATATATATATATATATATATATATATATATATATATATATATATATATATATATATATATATAAATATATATATAAATTAATCTTGCTGTATATATATATATATATATACAGCGTGTCGTTACCATCGCGACAATAAATGCACACACGTCTAACTGTACTTGCCAATAATCATAAAAAAATATTAACGTTAAACAAAATCCATAATAAAAAAATTTTTTTTTTCAAACAAACTAATTAAATTTATAACATCCTATACAACTCGCGCCAGCTAATGAAAAAGTCTGAATGTATGAATCAGTCAGAGATACTGAGAAGAAACATCAACGCCTGCAATGTTACCCATAACGATGCGTTGGATAGAGCGAAGTGAAGCGAAATACAAGTAAGGCAAACCCCACTAACGTATGTATAATAAATGCACGGGGGAGAGAGAGAGAGAGAGAAAGGGACAAAATCGAGCTATCAAGCTAAAGGAGTTTTCCCACTATTGTAGATTAATTGTTTTTCTAAACTATAACTCTATTTTATACAACTTTTGATATAAGAAAACATGGGAATAGTTTTGACTTTTAAAACTGGAACTAGAAAAAGTTATTTTAAAATTTTCTGTTCGGTCCTAAGAACTAGGATGTACTTATCTTAATAAATAAAAATGAATGTGGCTAAGCGCATAAGTCAAGAGCCATTTTTGACATGTGCTTAGCAACATTCATTTCAACGCTTAGCAATGCTTAGTACCTATTCGGCAATTTTTTTTAGCTTGCTTAAGATCCACGGAACTTTTTAATAATATAAAAAAAAAACAAAAGAAGAAAGAAGTCAGCTGGGAAAGCTAGTTAGAAATTACCATTAATGTATTAAAAAAAACCAACTTTGTTTATCCATTCGACCGCTTAAGCGAAGAAAGAATTAATGTAATAAATAATGAGTAGCCAGAAAATGGATACATTAAAGTTGCAATTGAAGTCCGGTTTGTCATTTTTAATGCTACTTATGTAAATTTATTTTTCTATTACTTTCATTTGAAAGGTCTAGAGAAAATTTTTAATGATGATAACATAATACAAATCTTGTCGTTTTCCAAAAATTGAAAAAAAATTAAATAAATTTGTTAACTATTTACTTTTACTATAGTAATGAAACAAAAACTCTTAAACGAGAAACTTGAAAACCAATTGCGTAGTACATACCGTAATCAATCAGATGAATTTGCCGGCTTAAATAACGAAATTGTTTTATTAACGGAACTTTTAAGGGTGAGTGTTTGTTATTAAACATTGCCATTACTTTAAAATAATATTAAATATTAAATGAATGAAAATCGCTAAAAGAGGTATACTTTGAGTAAACAAATACTTGTCTAGATGACACAATTAAGCTTACCACACGGCGCAAATAAGTTCTACTAAAATTAGACGTGGTAAGACTCGTGACGTAAAGTGGGTGATATACTTCTACGTTTCGTGTCGTAGCCGGGCGCACTTTATTTAAAGTTAACACCTGCAGCCCTACGGGTGTTGCAAATACCAATGGGTGGCGCTTATCACTTAACATCAGGTGAAACACCAGCTCATTTGACACCTTCCTTCTCACATAAAAAAATGTTGATTTCTGATATTAGAGGCAGAATCTCGGGATTAAACCTTCTTCTTTCTCCTGCCATTGCATTTTAATCTTATTGTCAATGGCAATGACTAGATTTTATAAGACTGGCCGCCAGTCTAATTTCAACACTCCTAGATAATAAATAAATACCCAGATCCGGACCAATTATCTGTAGGTCACACAAACACTTGTATCGTATAGGAATCGAACTCACGACCTCTGGCATCGAAGTCAATGACTGCGCAACTGCGCCCTCGAGTCATTCGAACCTTTATTTTTGAATAAAAAGAAAATAATTTTATTTAAAATTTTTTGACAGAACAACAAATTAGAAAGAAATGTGTACCTATTTTTTAAATGAAAAAATAGGTACACTGCACCTGCATTGAAATTTTGTTGAGTTTAAAAAAAGTATTTATTTGTTTACAAGGAACTGTCTAAGAATATTTCCGAGATGAAAATTCACATTGCAAACATAAAGGTGTGCAACGTTTCTGAACAGTGCAAAATAAAACTTCAAATAGAAAGTCTAAACGAACATTCGGATGGTTTCAAGAAACTTTACAACCAAGGTATAAAATCTTATAGGTATATTAAAGTAATGGAAAAAAAATTAAAAGAGTTAAAAGACAAACTTCTTTGGAATTGGTATTTTTATACTATATTAGGGCTAACCTCTGAGAATAGAATATTGTTGTCTAATAAGGCGGCAATGCATCCATAACTATGTTACGTAGATAGTAATACTCCTTTGCTAAGCTAGCATTATAAAGGTGGGAAAACTGTTAATTACTACCTATCTTTGGACATGTTTACAACTTATCCCCACACAGACTGTCACGAAGCACGATCCAGAGCCACCATCCATCGATATCCCGCACATCCGCAACCCTACTCTGTAATGGCTAAGTCAGTTTACTTCTTCTGAGCTATTTCGGTTTGTTCTACTGCGGATATATAGAGAAATACCGAGCAAAGTCCGCTGCATATATCACTGAGCGACTTTGAGCTACCTCATTAATAACAATATTTTGACAAATTTTTTTTTATCAGATAAAGTTTTGCAACATCGGCAGAATGTTATAAAAGCTGAAGAAATGGAAGCCGAGGAATTAAGAAAGAGACAATTGGAAATAAACGAGATGCAGAAGAAGAAGGCTATTGAAGTTGAGCGGGAATGCGAAACTATTGAAAGCGAATGTAACGTATTAAAGGTTTGTATTTTATTGATGACTGAAAAAGTTTTTTACGTCGAATGTACAGCCAATTAATTACCTTTTCATTTCGAGCATAGATTTGGTAGCTCTGGATATCTAAGGCTTAGTATTCCATCTATGTCTGTCATATATGGAAAATCAATCATGGGCACACAAAATTTTTCCCGTAGGGTTCGAACCCAGAACACGTCGCGCAAAATTCAGTAAAGTTTCGATTTGCGTCAGTTTCAGACAAAAGTTCTTGTTTCGTCGACAATTTCGCCTTGTCACAGATAGGCCGGAACGACGACTCGTAACCTTGTAAATTACAAGACAAATTTTATTATTATCATCTTAAAAATCTCTTCACATTTTTATTTAATTTAATTTCCCGAGGTTGACAAAAAAATCACAAACACTTCGTATTATCAAAAAGTAGAAAAGAGATGTTTCGAAAATTTTAGATAACAAAATATTTAAGGTAAATTTTAGATAAAAGAACCAGGGCTTCAAGAAAATGTATTTAACTCTTAATATTCTCGGTGTTGGAAACTACAAGACTAGTCGAGTAATTTGTTTTTGAGTAAGAATTGTGTTTTGGTCGGACTATACGATGGCGCAAAGGAATGAAACATTCTCTTACACTGTATAGTAGTGATTTTTATTAATAAGGGTATTTTAAATATATCAAATACATATAAATAATTTTTGTCCTATCTGGGTTTCAGTACATCTATCAATCACTAACGTAAAATTTTTTAGCTAGTACGAAAAGACTGTCGCCGCTGTGGGAATCGAACCCACGTCTTCGGTATGCACAAATTTTAATGTTTAATCTTAAGAGCAGAGATTAGCACTATGAAAAATTTAAAATCACTAACGTTATTTCAGAAACGTAACAAAGCTATAATGTTACAATTAAGACGTAAGCTACTAGAGACGGATGAAATAAGGAGGAATCTCATGAAAAATAAAAACATGGAAACATCTTAAACTACACTAGGCAATACTTTTAATATTGTATTAATATAAATACATTACACCATCAACTTTTAAAAATAGATTAAACATTACAAAGAAGCTCTTTTTAGTGTTGTACTAAAGGTAATCAATTCCTTCTTCCTCTCTGTGCCTCATGTATTATTACAATTTAAAGTAAATTTTGTGTTACTAATTACGCTTTGCTAACTTACAATAATTTGAAAGCATTTTGATTCTTCAATTGTTAACATTGTTTGGATTTATATAACTAAAAGATTTATATAAACGCTAACTAGTATTTATCATTTCAATACTAATAATTACAAGTAACAATACTATCATAACAGCTGAAGTTACTGCTAGCATTTTGTGCGCTGAGTGAGATTATAGAAGGTTGCGCTGTCCATGGGCAGCAGTAATGAGTGCCATTAGGCAAATTTTTTGCCACCTTCCTAAATGAAAACGTATCTTTATTATTAAATTAATGCTGCATTTTTTTCACATGAGAACTTCAAAAATCTGACCAAACACAAAGAAGTAATGATCTTCAACATAAAACGATCAAAAGTGAACAAAATGTCAATTGTTAAATAAAAGTAACAAAAAACGTCTACAACTAAAAACATAAGTCCGAAAGAATACACTATTTGTGACAAAATACGAGTACATTGCATAAAAGTAACTTCTAAGTGCAATGTCTTTTCAAAGATTTCGGATAATATCGATTGAGCTGTGTGGTAACGTAATGATGAAACACAGGCCTATCGAATATTATCGAAAACAATGTCCCCAGCCCTTTATAATTTACATTTTATACCGATCTTGTTTGATCAATAAAAACCCAGCCGTGTCTTTATTTAATTGTCTAATTGTAAAATTAATGCCACGCTCCTTTGTATCCAATGAGCCGATGGTTTATCCGAGGGGAGGTAAAATGCTAGAACAAAGTTAGATGAGTGTCCAGTAGTGGCCAAAACGCCTTTTCTCTCTAAAGTTTTATATAGGGGACATTTATATCGCTTGCCTTCTACAAATTCTGTCTTTAGTTTGGGGAACAACCACACTGCCGGCATAGCATCATTCAGTATTTTGGGATATTGTTCCGCCACCACATGCTTATTATGGTCCCATCGGCCACCATCAAGAAAGAGACCCTGCACGTAAACACCCCATTCTGGCGGCGTTGTTTCGTAATCTCTCCAACGTACTTCGAAATCGAATATTAACAAATCTATTGGTATCTTTTTGGCTCTGGCATAATTTTGAATTGAACCTGTTAGAAATGCTTGAGTGAAGTAGAAGCCGGAGAGCCAAAATGTTGGCGGTTTACCGTTTTCATACCAATTATTTAACATATTTAGTCGTTCAACAAAATCGACAACGTAGCTTGGCAAAGGCTTTAAACTCGGATAAGAAACTTTACACCAATTCTCTGGAATCTTGCCAAGTAACATTGCGTTAGACATCATGTCCAGTGCTGGTGACATAACAATTAATCCTTTAACAGCTTTCTGTAAATCTAACAGAGAACTTATAACTTCTTTAAGTAGTTTATTAAATCTCTCCATTTCTTGAATGAGTACCGTATTCATTGATTCATTATAATCTACAGGGTATTTTTTTTGAGCAACCTCAGTATCAAAAACTGGCGGAAGTTTCGATAAAATCTCGGATGCCATTTGGATAAGGATAGTTTCAGAGTTACCACCTTCTGCTCCACCACCTGTACCTTCAACGAGAACCAAAGTGGACGTTAGCTCAAGGGAAACAGAATGATCTCTCGTTATTCCTGCATTCATATGAAGTCCAAACACTTCTGGTGGAGGATTTACCGGAACGGATTCGATATGTTTCAAATAATCTTGGTACTCACATCGTCGTGGCAATCCGTATTGGGGCCCGATATCACAAAATAAGTAGTTTGGATCAGTGACAACTCCAGGGTTAACGTAATTGTCTAAGATTGTAACGATCAATCTTCTGTCCCAATCATCAGTCACTCTACCACCATAATTGCATTCACCTGTTAAATACTTTATTGCAACGTACTGTATTTCTTCGTATTGATTTAAAAACATTTGCAATTGCATTACTGAAATTTGAAAATCAGAATCATTAAAACCGTACTGAATATTCCAACCCAAGGATCCAAATTTCTTTCTTTCTTGAACTACGGCATGAAAAAAGCTAATACCGTACAGGAGTTTACTAAATGGTTTATCTTTTTCGGGACATCCTTCAAAAAACTCTGGTTCTTTTAATGGTTCAGACATGTAAGATCGGTATAAATTATTTTGTAAACCAGTTGGAGCTTCATTTGTCATTTTTACTGCTACTTGTAAAACAGATTGAGGAAATTTGTCTGATGGATAACTTGTCAGCCATAATCTAAAACTTAAGTCGGTGTTGGTTAAGTCAAAATTTTCTACAACTTTTTCGAGAACTGGAAGCCACGAAACGGCTAAGTGACAGTTCTGTAAGCATACCCAGCCTCCTTCTAGCTGCGCCCTTTCTATCATGGCTTTTGCAAGGGGTCCCTGACCTTGACCTAAAGATATTGAATTAAATCTGTGAGCATAGCCCATTTTTTCACAGTATTTTATTAATGCTCCCATAGGGTCGGAACCCGGAGACAGAATAAATATCAACGGTGCTAAGCAATTGGAATCACCAAACGATTTGCTTATGTCGAAAGGTGGTGGAGTTATGTATTTACGTCCTAACTGTTTTTCAACATATTGAGAAATAGCAATCGTAAGTTTATCAGGTCTTAAAATACGCACTATTAATAACTTTTGAAATGCTGTCAACTTTTCTTCCCATCCAAGAGGTAATGGTTTATTATGCGGTTCCAATTCATCGTATACTTCTTTCCATTTACTTGTTGCATTAACGAAACTATCCTTAAATCCCTTGAAAACTGATAAATCATTTATTCGACAAATTTCGTCCCACCCTTTGTCTGGTAACCAATCTACGGGCTTTTTTAACGGATTTTCAACAGCGATTCCTCCTGTTATAAGAAAAATATATTCTTCATGGTTAATGTCACCTGTATATAATAACATTTTAGAACACATGATAAACGAAAACATAAGTTTGTCTTTATCAAACAGTGATCTACAAACGTTACTGTATAAATTATAGGTAAAAGTTTCTTTTAAGAACTTTAACCTTTTCTCCAAATCTTTCGATTTATTAGCGTTTTCAATTGATAATATATATAAATTTATAAACCAAGTAAGAGAATATTGATACATAGGATCCACATTTGGTAATTCAGTTACACAATAATAGAGAACCGCAGAATGCGATGCGATTGGTCTATAACCTAACCTGAATTTTTCTATAATTTCTTCAGTTTCTAAACTAGCTTCTTGTTTTTTCATTATGTCAACGGCTAACAATTTAGAAGAATCAAGAACTTCGATAGCGGTTTCATCTTCTAAAATGTCACCTTTTGATTCTTGCAATGTCCGTAATATGTCATCTTCAACTTGTTTTAGAGCAGCACGATTTGCAGCGCCTTGAACAATTAACTTTTCTCTTTTTTCTTGCAAGTCAGGACGTTCTTTTGCAACTACGATTCCAAGTAGTTGGTCTTCTAAGCCATCTTTTGTCAAAGCAAAGTTTATAAGAGTGACCTTATTGAATATCTCAGGCAAATAATGTGGATTTCTTAATTTGGTTGTCATGTATAATCTAAACTGTGGATGATATTCAATAACATTCTCACCTAATGCAATAAATTCTTTTCCACCTTGAATATAAGTATTTTTCATTAAAATTGGGTCTAATGGGGCTTCTACATCTTCCAGAACACATTCTATTAAAACCGGTTTACCATATTCTAAACAAGTTTCAATCACTTTCATATAATTACCATCAGAGAATTTAATTATTTGTAAATCGTTAGGCTTTTCCATCGTCTTAATCCATTTATTTGCCTGACCTTGTGGATCGACTAATAAAGACCATCGCATTGAATTATCTAATATTACACCGTTATCTATTGAAAAAGAATCCCACGGTAATCCTGCAATACACCAATTTTGTATTTTAATATCAGTACCCAATACATCTTTTAATACATATGTGGGAGAATGAGGCATATCTAATTTTATAATTAGATCTCTCCATTCCTCGATTTCTTTTATTCTCACTGGCAATGTAAACGGTGCAAGATAAGCAATAATTCCACAGGACACTAAAATATCTCCCGCGAGGTTATCAAATAACTTTTGAAGGTTTGCAGCAGCTGCAGTCCACCTAACTTTTTCACCCCCTAAGCCACCAATTAACTTTTCGGCTCTGTATAATTTATCTATACATAATTGAACATCATCTTCTAATGCTTTTTTCTTTATATTTGCTTCCTCTAATGCCTCATTTAATTCGGCAAGTCGAGCTTCTAGACGTGCTACAGTTGCTTTCTTTTCTTCCAATATAGCCATTGTTTGAGAAAACTCTTTCTCCGCTGCTTCCAATTTCGCCTTTTTAGGTGCAACCACTTTAGCTACAGCATCATACATGTCCATAGCAATAATCCATTTACAAAGCCCTTCAGCAGCTGTAGAAGCTTTAGCTATTATATGGGGCTTAAAATCTTTGTGCGAGAGGTATTCCTTTCTTATTTTTTGCATTGTAGCAACAGGAATGTTATCTTTATCAAAGTTTCTTAGAGAATCTAGAAATCCCATATCACCCAAAATCCTCTTACTTGGACCCCAATAATCAAGTATTTTTCTACCTGGGTTATCAGGATCGGGTATTTTATCAGGAGGTATTCCTTTCATAACACATACTGCCGCCATTACCAACTTAACAGTTGCAGGGGGATTTTTCATAGACTTGACTATTGTAATATCTGCTGGCTTTAAGGTATTTAAAGCAGCAATCGCATCTTCTAAAATCGGTAGCGCTAATGCTAAATCTGCTTCACAATCCTTTTTTAGTTCTTCCGCTGCGGCCGCTTGCACGTTGGCAACCTTTTGGTCTTCTCTTACTTGCGCAGCAGCTTTATCTGCTATGGCAGTTTCTACTTCAATTTCTTGCATCATTTTGGCTGATTTTGCTGCCATTACCATAAGTTGTGGTTTCAGCGCATTTAAATCATGTTGCATAATTGACACAGCTTCTGCCGCCTGACTTAACTTATCCAACCCATTTGTATATCTTAATTTAGCTGCTCTTAATTCACGTTGTTTTCTATTAGTAAGTGTAGTAAATGTTTTGATTAAATTCAAATATGAGGCTGACGTGACATATGTCTTTCTTCCGTATTGATTGAAAAAATCATCGGATATCCTACGTGCATCTACATGAAATTGTTTACATGCTATCACCGCATTACCCTTTACTTTATCTGATACGTTTACCTTAACCATGTAAAAGTTTGCAACCATTTCTAAAGCATCTTCAGGCCAACTATCATACCAATCAATAGTGCAGCAATTTACTAACGATGGATATAGTCTTAGTCTCGTTTTGAATGCACTTCCTATAGGACTGAAGCATAATACAATATGCAATTTAATTTTACAACGAGCTATAAAAAACGCCAAAATTTGCAAAGGACTAATATCAAGATTTCTATTACCACCTTGAGCTGCCAAGCGTACCAATTCGAGAATTTCTTGTTTTTCATCCAAGCCATATAAGTTAGGAACTTCGCCAGAATTAAGTAAACTATCAAGGTTTTGTATAAAAACTTCTTCTTTAATTTGACTTTCAGTAAACAAGAAAGTGGTATCTTTATTAAAACCACCAGACTCACGTAATACTAATTTAATGTCATCTTGCCAATCTTTAACACTGTAAGATTTCGTTATTTCCGGCTGGAAAACTGATTGTCCCAAAATTGTTCCTGCTAGCCGTGTCAAAGATTGACGTCCAGAACCTCCAACACCAACTAATAATGCATTACCTGATGGCATTGAAAGCAGTCGACAAATTTTGGAAAGGTGTTCCAAAGCATAATCAAACAAGACAATCGTCATTTTAGCTTTGTGCATAGAATTATATTCAGCTAACATTGATGTTGCAATGTTCAAGATCGATTCCCTAGAAGGTATTTCTTCATATCTTCGCTCACCTTCAAGACTATCTGTGTCTAAGTAGCTACCAAACATCATGCTCTTTATGCTATCTTGGGTAACATTTCCCTGAGCATTTTGATATATATCTAAAGCAGACTCAAAAGTGTCTTTCATATAATCTCTAGTAGTATTTTTCAGAATATCATAGAACCAACTGCGATCTATTTCATCAACTAATCTGTCATAAAAAACACGCAATATTTCGTGTACCCAAACCCGAATAAACGTCTTCTTGTTTTCGGCTGATTCCTTCCTTAATAACGCACAGCCTTGTATTACTCTTGAAAAATCTCTTAAATTAAAAATGTAGTGCGATTTTGCAGGCGTTGGTCTGAGTCCTTCGGCAGCTTGCTCATATATATTCATAGTAGCCGCTATAATATTAACTATTACTGGTTGTGTATCTTGACCAAAGCCGTTTTTTCGCCATCCCAGTTGTAGTAAAGAAGTAAAGATCTTTGTCATACTTTCTTTCGAAAATTCATTTATAGAATATATATTGTAGTGTCGTAACATTCTCGGGTAAATCAACTGACGGCTTCCACCTACAGGTCCTATGGCACCATAGAAAAATGTGTCATGAATATATAGCTTATCTGTTGTTTTTAAATCATACCAATGTTTTTGGTCAAAATATAATCTTAGTAATTCAATAGCAGGTTGTGCGCCATAAACTTCTTTAGCAGGCATATTCATATCGTCTATAAATATAACGGCTTTCTTTCCTTTAGTAGGGCCATAGTTGTTTTTTCTTCTTTTTACTAGTTTAGAAAGTACTAAATCTTGTGTTTGATTAGCAGAAGTTGTGGTTGTAAATGTTATAAATCCTGGTGTATACTTCTCTATATCAATATTATTCATTAAGAAGTTTTGTACATAAAAACTTTTTCCGGTCCCGGTTGGTCCTATTAGTAATAAAGGTTGAGCAAATTGAGTATGTAGTTTTAAAAGGAACATATATTTTTCAGTTTCCAAAGTGGGTATTACAGTTTGTAATAAATTTATCTGTTCCTTCACTGCGACAGATTTTAAAGTGTCAGGCCAATATTTCCAGCAACCTTTACCTTTGTACATATAATAATGATCAATTAACATGCCTTCTGTGGGAATTGATACGTCAAGTTTGTCAATATTAGTAGGTATACCTTTTTCGCCTCTAAAGTATTCTTTTACCAAATCATCAAATTTTTCTCGTGATTCACCGTTTAATATCCCACCCACGCCCCAAACAAGGGCAGTCATAAAGGAAGCTAGAAACCAGCATCTTGTATATTTAGTATCTTCTTCACCTTCTATAGCAATATCCATTAGCATTTCTACGAGCCGAAGCGTACTTATTACTAAATTTACATCACCAGCTTTAACAAGTTGAATACAACATTTTCTTACGTAGAAAATTAGTGGCTCAAACAGCCACTCACACATATTAAAAATAAATTCTTCGTTTTCTTCGAGCCATATTGGATTAAGATTTTTTAACCATGATTTATAGAAGGGCATAAATCCAAAAGATGATGATTCCATGTATATCATACCACATCTAGACACTGTAGCAGGAGACGCTTGAGACAGATCCATTACTTCAAAAATCATTGACATTACATTAGACATCGCTATAACTTCACCTGAGGTTAAACAAAGTTTTTTATTGTCATCTAAAACAGTATTCATGTTTTCAATCCATACTGCGTCAACGGGGCCATCAAATACTATCCATTTCCATATTGGTGTATCATCTGATGCAAAATCTCTAAACATTGTAGCAACAATACCATCTGTCCATTCATAAGATATAGGGTCAAATGCACCGTAAAGTTGACCCATGGTTACAGCTTTAGGATTTAATACCTTATATGTAGACTGACATCCTCCAGGTTGTTTATTTTCATACATAATATTTAAAGTTTGAGATAATATTTTAAGTGTCATTGATTTTCCTGAAAAAGGATCGCCCACAAGCATAAATCCATGTCTGACTATCATCATTTCATAAGTCTGTACTACTTTTGTCAGAAAACAGTCGATCGGTTGAAGATTATTAATTTTACAACTTTCATGACACGCATTCAAAAAGTTTCTATAGTCTGGTTTAGGCAAAGTTACCCCAGGAAATAGATCGGATATAATACCTTCGAATAATGGCACATCGAAAGAGAGAAATTTCGGCAAATTAACATCAATAATAGATCTTAAAAGCAAAATATGTTCGCTTTCATTGGGGAAGTTTCTTTTAAGGTTTCCTGCAGCAGAGAGTACTGTCTTTACAGCTCGCATTCCGTAATCATAGTGGTTCTGAGAAGATAATTGCTCAGAACATAGACGATAGGTTGTAACAATTTTAACGGATAAACTACGAGCATCTATAAATCCAAAAGAGTATAGAGATATTTCACCTATCATAGCATAATCAGGTACCATCATTGCTACAGTTCTAAATAATACTTTGAGGTTGTCAGGTAGTTCAGAACGTCCTGCATAGCCAGGATTCATTGTAATACAAACATAACATGCGGGGTTTAAATTTAAAGTCGTTCCTTCAAATTCGAACGTGTCTAGATGTTGCCTTACAGCTTGAACGATACAAAGAATTTGTTGTGCTATTACAGATAAAACCTCAACTTCAATCCGGTTGAATTCGTCAAAGCAAACCCATGCACCACATGATGCTAAGCCTTTAAAAAATTTACCCATAGCTTTATAATCTAAGCCATCAGAACAATTAAAGACTACACATTGCACTGCTAAGGCTTTTGCTAAATCTTTAGTAGTTTCGGTCTTTCCCGTACCAGCAGGACCCTCCGGAGCACCATTTAGGTGTAGATAGTAAGCTCCAATAAGAGTGCGATAACAACGATCTGTTAAAGGTGTAATAACTAAGCGATCGGAATTGCCTAAATATTCATAAGCGTACGGCACAACGGCATTTATTATTTTAACTGCCACTTTTTCCTCATCCCAATAATATCTCAGTTGGGCAAGCCATTGGAAATCAGTGACTTCAATTACATTATTTTCAATAAGTTCTTGTATCACGTCTTTAGCGTGAACATCAATAACAATAAGCGCCTTGACAGTAATGCTATTTAATTTAGTTAAATCTGGGCGGCGTATAACAGCAACAGTGTCATTAAGTTGTTTTGTTAAACTAACATGAAAAGCTTTAAGTTCACTTAGTTTATGCGTATTCAGACTTTCATGAACATCCACAGCCCAATAAATCTGTGATATAGCTAAAACCACCATCCCCTCCCAAGATAGTATCCAATCCACACGACTCATTGTAGGATAGTCATAATACGATAACTCAGTTTCGGATTTTACCGCTTTTAACATTTGATCTTCCACTTGTACAAGCCACTTTTCAACGGATCCCCTAGCAGCTGCAACATCAATCGATTCAAGAAATTCAACTTGCTCGCCTTCCATTGATATCATTGCACTTATATTGTAATCTTCGTCAAAAACTAGTTTATTTATACCTTCAAAACACTTCTTCAGGTGTGGTTGAACTTTTAATGGGTTTTTTGTTTCTGATAGTATTTCTAGCATCTCATCGTTAGAAAGAAAGAAAAATCTAGGAAAATATAAACGTTTCTTTTCTAAATAATTATTAACTCCATCGTTGATTTTTTCTAATAAATTGGATGCAGTTTTAAATGATTCTAAAACACCAACACCTCCAGCAATATCTAAGACATGTGGGTCCTTATCTACAGTTCCCATATACCGTCGGTAAATATTATTTACCTCAACAAACATTACACCTTCTTCAGGCATTTGCGCAACAATATCTTTAGACGAGAATATTGGCAATAAGTATAACCATTGGCTTTGCACTTTACCCCATTCATCGATAGTGGCATTAACTCTCACAATTTTTTCATACCAACCTTTAACTTGATTTTCAAATGGTTTCACGAATGCAGAACCTCTCATCGCAATAGTCTTTACTATGTGATCAT